AGGGAAATTGATTGGCAATTGGAAAGTCCCTTTGGTCATTGTTGAGAAATGTCATGAACTCAAGTGTGAAAATAACTGAATTGTTTCAGCAAGATTTTAGAGACTAAGACTCTAAACAGAACTAAACAAAGACCCCCCTTGTGCTGATTTACCAGACAGGATATACAATTTCACAGTTTTGGGGGGATAATAAGTTTCAAGTGTGAAGCAGTTGGAAGGTTGGACTGAATTCATGCAATTTAGTGTTCTTTAGGTACTTCTAACTTGTTTTGTGAGTGACAGGGTGTCAATAGACCACAGCTTGGACATTTTTCTTTCCCTGCATTAAATAGTTACAGGGGATCTGCAGACCCAGAAGGGGCTTGATGAGGGTTCATTGTACAGGTGAAAAAGTAATCATTAGGTATACAGGGCTTTATTCAGGGGATTTACACTAATTTGTTGAATAGCAGATGTTTGAAATGTCATTGTGGTGTAGTGGTTACTGCTAGGTCTACGGAATCCCTATATTCAATTGGCCCGAAACAACAATATTTATGACCAACTCTGACATAATGAAGAACAAACACAGCCTCTCATAGTTTATCTAATTTCATTATCCATGCCCTCCTTCAACCTTGTAGCCACAGTTTGTTTGAATTAAAAGTGAATTAAGAGACTGGTCTGTGTTATTCTAGCCATTTTCAGGGAATTCTTGCAACCTGTACAAAATAAACAAGTACCTGTTTAGTTGTGAATGTGAAAGTAAACACAAGTCTCGCACACTGACAGTCCCAGTACATTCTCATTATATTGATCTCCTCTGGAATCATTATTATAGGGATCATGCATCTACATAAGACAGGTTTGTCTAAATCTTCCTTACTTTAAATTCAAACTTAGATAAAATAGCAATTGGGAATAGAAAGTGACTGTGTTAAAATAGTTATTTAATAAAAATATAAAGTAAGAAAAATCTATTTTTTTTCTTGAGCATAGTATGTATTTCAGTGTCATTGGATTGAAACCCCTTATGAAAGCTAATTTAAAAATGTGAAAAAAAAAATATAAATGGATTTTTTTTTTTGCATATCTGTATGAATATTTATAGTAAGATGACCAGTATTTAACTTATAATATGAAAATAAATAAACCTATATATTGAAAGATGTTTTCCTACTTTACAAGTAAAACTACATTTTCCTGTTTCTGATCATTTATGTAATAACTATTGAGAGTTTATATATTGCCTTTGATGTCATTAAGTAACTGTTTAATACATCCTGTGATCTAAAGATTTTTTTTATTATGACTTAGACCAGTATCGTAGACTGGTCTAACCATGCCTCTCAAAGTTCAAACAGAAAAGTGGTCCAAGTTTTACAGGAAAGACCAAGTTTTTATCTCCTTTTGAGCCACTTTTATGACTTAGACCACATAAGTGTTGTCTTTGATCTTCTGCTTTCTCTGTCCTGAGGGGCAGCTCATGGATTGCATTGACAGAAGCTTTCTGATTGGGTAGAAGTCCTGTGAACTTTCACACTGTTCATTCACTGTTCTCTTCTCTGGCCTCCAGCCCCAAAGGATATCATTCCATTGTAGGTTAATTGTTTGTAAACTTTTTTTTCCCTTAACTTAACAATGCATTTATGATTATTTATTTGCTGAGGGAAGTCTTCCTTTGACCTCTGAACCAACACAGCGTGTGTGAGATAACCTATAGCTTCCAACCTTGGATTGGCTTAATTTGAACCCAGCAGGGGTCAAGAAGATTTGACCTGATAAAGATGTTGGATCTGTAGGGTCTCCATTTTTTGAGAAAATACACACACAGTGGGGTAGAATCCAAACTAATGGAAACCTGACCGACTTTTCTACAAGGATTTAATATTGACTGAGGGACCTCCCACTCTATAGACATATGTAGGGAATGACAACATGTGTATGCTGACATCTTCATACTGAGTTTGGACCTGGGTGATGATTAGTGCTGAAACAATATAGTAGTCTATTTTGAAACTATTTAGACTGTTTGAACCTTGATTTAGGGAGTCATTAAGCTTCAGAGATTTAAGGAATTATGGTTCTGTCTCCTTTCCAGCAGAAATGTTATGGATTTGGGATGGATATGTGTTTTACAGACTTCTTACATGACTGCTGTAAGTTAAAAGTTAATTGAGGGAATATATGTGCTTTTATTTTTTTTCTCCATTTATTAATTAGTAAAAATAGTTTCTTAAATCACATTTTGAAAAAAAGAAAATTAAAATGATATAAGTATATAGCACCAAAGAAAAATTAATTGTCAGATCTGCATTTTATTCTTTTTTTTACTATAAGGCTAAGATGAAAAAAAAAATTCCTTGATTCTCATCAAGTATTTTGGGGGAAACTGTGACAATGGGAGGATTTTTTTAAAAAAATTGTGGGGGTCGGTGTTTCGTTGTACAGATATTTTGTTGACCTCGGTGTATGATCTATGTTACCTGAAGAAATATTCATTTTAGAATGAAAAAAAAATGATAAAGATCAAAAGACATACTAGGACTAAACTGCAAAAAATTCCACAAATAATTGTTTGGAAAAACAAAAAAAGAAAGAAAGTGGAGAACAAAATTCGGACATAGGAGATGAGATGGGGGGATGGCCTAACTTACTTGATGTGTGCATCCCTAATCAGAAATTCAAAATTGCAGTTAGGGAATTTATTTTGTAGCTTGCAACAAGTTATAAGAGCAATTGCAAAGTTTGCTCATCATTAAAAGAGAGTTATAACTAGATAAATTTTGATACCCATCATTACTTAGTTAGATAAGCTGTGTTATCTAGGGATTTAATTTAATCCCAAGCCTGGGAGACTATCTATACAACCAGTCAGGGGGGATCAGTGCTAATGATAAGTTAATCTCCAGGTTAATTAACACACAGGCCACAGATAAAAAGGTGTACTTCTCTGAAGATTTTTATACAGAGTAATTCAAAAAGACTCAAACTTTAAGTGGTGTTTTAATTTAGCACAAATAATCATGGACCAGAAAAAAATTTCTAGTTATACATGTATATGATATACATGTAATGGGAATAGAATACATAAAGAAAGGGTATTTAGGACTTCCAGGAACCACGGCATTCAAGATTTCCACATTGGAGATCAGAGTTTAATTATATCCCTCCCCTCAGGCCCTATTAAGAAAAATACTATATTAAAGCTAGCTATTTTACAAAATGATTTATTTGATTTCGACTGCAACTAGGAATATATCAGGCTAGATATGTGTTACATTATATAAAATGCAATTATAGATTCTCTAATAGCTTTAAAATAACAATTCATTATGAATACTGGAACTTGCAGGGATAATAAACTTGTAGGTTAATTATTTTTGTATGTGAAAATTGAGTCGAAGAAATCAAGCAAAGAAGGAGCACAATATTAAAGAAATAGTAAACACTATTACTTTTTTGCTATGTTTATGCAGTATACAAGTACATTATGGAATGTTAAACCTTACATTTTCACATATACTCATGAAGTGTCATTAAGAGTCCAGAAGGTGAATATGTCAGTTTATATATACTGTTGAAACACAAGCTCTGAAATTAGCAACTGCCTGCTAGATTCTGCCATGCCCAGTGGAAAGTGAGGAAGGGTCATTTAGAACCCCCTTGTGAAAAATCAGTTAATGGTCTTTCAGTAGGTATGGATGCTTATCAGGTCTTAGTTATGTCAGAATGAAATGCCCTGTCAAATGTCATGAACAGTGGCTGCTGAGGCTTTGGTAATCAGGTCATGAGTTATTGTATTCAGTATTGAATTTGGATGAAGTGGACAGTTGTAAAGGCATAAGGCCAGTATTGGTCACCATTAGATGTAAAGTATTGATCTCTTATATAATGTCCTACACCGGCTTTGTTTGAGGGTATTATCTGTATTTGCTTATTAAGAGGACATGTGTGCCTTTGATGTTCAGAGTATAGAGTCGGTGGACTTACTTTGAGATTGTTGTGTTCTGTGAATTTTGATTTTGAGGTAAAGTACTAATCATAAATTGTTTTCCATCATGAAATAAATTTTTTTTTTTGATTTCATTTAGTTATATGGAAAATATTTCATTGCTTATACATGTAAATCCCTTGGTTGCAATCTGGTTTTATTTTCAGTGAATTTTGCAATTGATAATGTTTGGAAAGTGATTGATGTTATTGAAATCAAAATTATAAGGAGAAGAGAAGTTCAAAGGGATTCTAGGGGTTCTAGATTGATGGTCTTATTTATCAGGCTGGCAGGTTAACATGGTCCAGACAATAGGATTCCCTTAGGTCCTTTAAGGCCCCTGGCCACTACTGAATGAACTCTCTTGTCTCTTGTTGAACAAGGTCATTACAAGGAGCAATTAAAATTTACACAATTTTAATGCACACTGGATGGATTATAACTGTATAATCTGGCTGAATACATGTAAATCAATTTTTATCTGACAACTACAACAAAAACTTTTATTAGTTCTTGTAATAAGTATAAAGACACTGAATTATGTCTTTACAGAATTTCTGATTTTCTATTTTTGAGGTTTTTCGAGTTACCACTAGTTTCTAACTGCAGGGTTGCTCATTAAAAGTAAATTGATTAATTGTTTATTGATATTTTTTCATGGATAAGGGTAAGTGCCAAATTAACAATTTCCACCAGTCCATTACTAATTATGCCGACAGTGACCCCTGCTGATTAGCACCTCTTGGTTAATTTAATTAAGTTTTGTTGGGTGTATGTCACTGTAGACATTTTGCCAGTTGTATACTGTTCAGCATTAGTTCAAGTCTTACTTTGTATGGTATAATTTCTACAGTTTTTACATCATTGCATAAAATATTTATGACACTAAAATGAAAATACATCCTGGTAAGTTGACTTTCCTATTCATTTCTTGATAGATCAGTCTTTTTAGAAAATTATTCTGCATTACAGAAAGTGAAATAAGATTAATAAAGGTTTACTGTTATGTAAACAAATGACATCCTTAGGGGCTATGAAATAAATTGGATAAAGGATTTCCTTTAGAGCCCAAGGGGCTTTGGCTACTTGATCAACATTGTTTGATCAGTCGTCCACCACTGGCTTAGTGGGCAGCAGAATTAATAACATTTCCTGTTATTTTTTAACAAGAAGGGCAGTCCAGTTAGCATTGTAGTAATGGACATACTGTAAATTGCAATTATGAAATGTAAGATATGGCAGATTGTGAGGAAAGAGAACATATGGACTTCTTTTCCATTGTGTCTGAAGGATACCTTTTTTGAAAAGTCTTATTTGATATAGATTTTATGATTTGTCATGTCAATTTTTTTTTCAATTTGGGGGGGAAATACCCTTTCTATGTTTGAAATATGAAGGCATCCTATAATAATTATTTGAGAAGGTAGAGAGTTTTGTTTATAGTACATGTACTAATAAAAATGCCATTTCTGTGTTACAAATAAGATAATCTCTTTATTTTTACAGCCTATGAGATGTCCACCCCTGTCGTGCGACGTCGGCACACGGACGCTGACAAGTTGGTAAATCGGCTGAAGAACGCCATGCCAGACAAATTCCAGGTCATGGTTCAAATGCACCTGTCCTTCATACTGGACTTAAGTGGATCCAAGTTAGAAGAAATGTTCAAAGAACCAGAAAAAGTCGACACAGTGCCAAAAAGAAAAAGTGCTACTCCCTTCTCCAAAAAGAAAGGTACACGGGCTTCATTCAACATTTTAAAAACCTTCTCATCCTGTAGTGCTTCTTGAGCTGTGTAATTACTGACTGGAGTTTATTTTTATGCATTTTTGTTTTTTTATTCACAGATAAACACGCTAGTGCTCTGTTTGGAACTGCTCTAAGCAATGAGAATGTGGCCAGGATCTATCCACTGATTGAGTTCCTAAGCCGACCAGAAAGTAAGTGAAAATTGGCAGAAAAACACAGAAGTAGATCTCTATTGAAAAATAACAGTTGAGGATCAAAAGATTTATCAACCAATAGGAAATATCCCACTCGTGATTTGACAATAGCTTTTCTGGGCCTTTTGTATTTTCTGTAAAAGATTAACATGAATATTGAAGATTTGATTACCTTCTACAAGGTGATTCTGGACCTTATAATGTGGTTTATTTCTAATTTCTATCTAATTTTTTCAGACCTGAAGACAGAAGGTTTGTTCCGTAAGACTGGTAATGTAGCTCGCCAGCGATTACTGAAGGAATGGTTAAATGAGGGGGTGGAACTCTGTCTAGATCAGGAGACCTTCACCCCTCATGACTGCGCCACCGTCCTCAAAAACTACCTTTCCGAGCTCCCAGAGCCCCTCCTGACCGAGAGGCATTACCAGGCTCATTTACAGGTCGTTGGTAAGTGGTGTGTTTTATCCCTAACATTTCACTCTTAAAATACACAATTTTCAGTATAAATTTTTTTCAGTATTTTTCCTTACATTTTTTTACATCAAGAATCGAAAAGCAAAATTGTTCTAGGATTAAAAATTAAATATATTTGAGATATTTTGTAAACAAATTTATCAACAGAATTGTGTGATTTTCAGACATGGTGTCCCAATCGACCCTTGAGACAGAGAAGACGAAGGCTCGCAGTAAGCAGATGAAGGCCCTACAGCTGATGTTCCTGGCCCTGCCCCCCACTAACTGTCTCCTGCTGGAGTGCCTCATTGACATGCTTCATCGGGTGTCCAGAATTTCAGAAAACATGATGACTGCTCAGTCACTAGGAACCGTGTTCGCTCCCTGCTTGTTATGTTCCAGAAAGGTGTGGCTCGTCTTAAAATCTCTTTTTTTTCCCCAGATTTTCTATGGAAATCATAATTGTGTAAATTTAATAACAAGTTTACTGGTTTGTTAAAGAGGCTGGGTGATGATGGCCATTTTTAGACTATTTTGATCTCCTTTAGAAGAAGAGCTCCATAGAAAGATATAATAAATGATCAAGTTTTAAAACTAAAATTAATGAAATTTTTCTTTGCCAAATGATAGTTGACAGCTCAAGATATCATATCTAAAAAAATAAGTTATATTTGGTGGTTAATAAAAAAATAATCTGTTGACCCCCTAGCCTCCTTAAAGGTTGTATCAATTTGCATGGTATATGGTTTCAAATATTCCATTGAATATTATAAATAAATGGATAGATGCTAGAAGTGATCACCTTCCTGATCTTGTTTCTCATGATACTATTTGAATTTCAGTTGTGAACCTATTTTAAAAGTCTGTGTTGTAGAAGTAAAATTCATAGTAATTTATATGATCTGTATTTTATGTTATCAGATGCCACCAGAGGAATTACAGTACCTCTCTCCCAAGTTAAGCCAAGCGATATCCTTTATGGTGGAAAACGGTTCACAAATTTTTAAAGTGAGTATATTTTACAAAGTAAAAATGTGACATTCATGTCTGAAAAAAATATAGCAAAGCTAAAAAGACATTAATTAAGTTCTGAGTAAATGTGTTTCTTTTTGTTCTGCAGACACCTAGGGAACTAGCAGCAGATATTGCCAATTTTTGGCGGGAAATGGAAACACCAAGCAAGTGCAATAGGGTCAAAAGTGAGGGTGACCAGGATAGCTCTAGCTCAAGTCTGTATAGTGCAAAGGTGAGAGAAAGGAGACTGTGTATAAATCAGAGTAATGGTTACTGAGCACAATCGATGATAAATTAAAGAATTTCTTAGAACTACTCATATTGCTTAGAGACACTTGTTTTCTGAACAGGCAGTTTCAAATTGCCCATTTTAAGCCTTAGTGTGATGCTTGGACATACTTGTAATATTTTTATTTATGGGAAAATAATCTTCCCTACTTCTGTCCTCTTTGAACTGTGGAAATGTTATTAAAGTCATCCCTCTGTTTTACAGAAGTACGGAAGCACACAAGCGGTTAATACAGTGGTACGTTTTGCCGAGCGGAAATCCTCCAGTGATTCAGACTCAGGGACTGACACCCAGGTGGCGCTGGCTAAACTCTACGCCCACGTACAAATGATGCCCGACTCATCCAAAAAGAAAAAGTTACTCAAGCAGTTCAATCAGGCCAGTGGGTCAGCTCCCCCCAAGAAACACTCCAGGAGTAGGACCCTGGGTGAACAAATTAAGGTATGTAGCTCATTGTTCTCTTGTAAGATAAATCTCTGTATTGGTATACAATGCACACAAACTGTCAGATTGTTTCATCAATTTGAAAATAAATATATTCATTCAACTTCATTTTTTGCTATTCTTCGGGAAGGAATCCTGCTTTTTTGCCAGTATATGATCTCTGAATGGTGTAGTAAGCATATGGGAACTGTTAAATAAATGTTGTGTGTTTATTTTTTACAGAAGCATTTTGGGAGTCTACACAGACATCACAAGAGAAGGGGAACCAACGAAGACAGTAAGGTGACAGGAGGCCTACCCTGGACTCTCACTAAAACCATAGACATCGACGAAAACGACAACCTCCACCATGACGACGTGTTCATTACAAAAACTCCTGACGGCAAAACAAGGATAGGACTGAAACAGGTGGGCAGGGTTCAAAAATAAAAATGGTGTCTTGGAAAGTTTTGATATTGTGAATTAAATATTTGTAATGTGTAATAAAAAAAAATCTCTGCCAAAATCTCACTTTGTGCTTCAATTCAGAATATCTGGATTTAATTAGTTGCTTTGTAACATATTCTAAAGTCTTTTGCTTTCTTTTACAGCCAGGAAGTCCAGCAGTTCACATCGTAGACCTGAGTAAAACTCCCAGCCAAAAAATTAAACCCAGGAAGAGGCGGAGTAGTGGTAGTAGTGACGGCAGTATTCCAGAGAAGCGGCCCTCTCCCGAGAAGATCACCAAGGTGCCCTGTACAGAGAACGAGATTCAATACCTGGCCAGTATCCCTCACGAGCGGCGGCACTGCCCATGTACCCCCAAACAGCTCCACAACAAACCCATAGCCATGGTGTCACCAATGAACCAGTCTCCCATATCAGAATCCGTGAAAAAAATTCCCTCCAGAACACAAGTAAGAGGCTATGAACATTTCTTTTTTGTACTACAAGAGTAATCCAAATTGAATGCTAGGGTCTATTTCAGAGTCGAATGCCTAGAAGTAAATAATGTTATTCATTGAGAGAGTTTTAGAATGTTATTCATTGAGACAGTTTAAATCATTATATAGACTAAAGTGTTTTATTTTTTAGCAGTGAATGTTTATAATAATCATAAAAATTATTTTAAATCTGTTTGAAAGTATTTTTATTCCATTACTTTTTATTCTTGCAGAAAGCCATGCACACACCTAGGTCCAGAATGCCTCTTCTAGTCATCCAATCACCGACGAATTTATCTCGAGAGAGCGTTCTGTAAACATTACCTAGTGTTCAACAGCTAGTGCTAAAAAACATTCCATATCAGAGTCACAAAGATGGACAGTTTTATATAGTGTCAAATTGTACAGAAAGTGCTGTGTATATTCTTAATATGTGTACAGTGTATAGAAAATTGTACAGTCTTCAAATATTTTTTTATAAGGGGAGATAACACAATTAACATTAATGATAATGATACTCATTTATTAAATCCTCTCCATAATAAATGTATACTTAACCTTTAATGTGCCATTACCAGATTTCCTTGGACTTCTTTCAGAAGTCCGATTTGTGATAACCAGTTGCCCTTCTATCACTGAGGGGTCTGAAGAGATTCTGTATCTTAGTGCTTCTGTATTTCTGTAATTTTCCCGTTTATTTCTGACAATCTCCTGAATCCTGTCTGGATTCTTATGTCTAAAGCACTGTCATAACCCACTGTTTCCCAATTGGTAGTGCTTTGACAAATATGTTATTTGACCTTTCAATTTTATTGTGGTCTTGGTATGTATTCTTATAGAATGGTCAATTGGAGTGTGAAATAATCAAAAATAATAAATATGGTAATCTCATATCAAATAACATGTGAATATTGTTTTGTCTTTTATTTAAGTGTATAATAAAGCATTTAAAATTGTTTTTTTTTTTTTTTTTTTTTAAAGATGGAGCAAACTATGATAACTGTTACCATTTCCAACTGACAATCTTGACTTTAAACATTTTCTTGAACATGTAGTGTTGGAATTTATATACACAAGGGAATCCCCTTATACAAGACATGGGGAGAACATTCTAACATTTTGTAAACTTGGGAATCATTACTGGCTCAGATCTTGTACATAAGACCATTCCAAGTTTTTTTTTTCTGTGTTTACAATCCAGTTATTCACAAAAGAAAGAACAAGGCCAAAGCAGAAAAACCAAATACTGTACATACAGGGTTATTTTTGCCCCTTGTTATTTTCACATTAGCAAACAATATTACACAGTTTTAAATTCGCCCAGTCATAGATTTGTTTAAAAAATTATACAGTATTCTTTGAATTCGCCCAGTTTTAAATTCGCCCAAATGAGGGTAGGGCGAGAGGGGCAAAAATTTCCCTGTATACAGTATTTTTTTTATATAGAGGGATTCACATCAATGAATATCAATATCCCATTCTATTGGTTTTTCGAACATTTCCACCATATGTGTTCAATAATGAGTTGAATTTGGTTGTCTCCTAATATTGATGAACAACAGGTCAACAATGTATATAAGCACAAAGTCAACATATCTCTTATGAACTGCTTTACATGAGTTTTCATTTTTGTTTTGAGTATCCTATGTCTTTAGTGACCAATAAGTTATATAACAGACCTGTAGTATCTTTTTGCTATGGCCATTAATATATACATGTATTGTACCAATTTATTAGCATTCAACAAGCATTTTAATATTTACATTTCCAATGTCTATGTTCGAGATAAAATTACAAATAGTTAATGTACTTTATTTCTCCATCAATGTACTGGTTCATCAATAGGCGCGGTTAAAAAATCACGTGCAGGGTGGGACGTATCAAAGCGATAGAGACAGAAGCAGGGCTTGTAGCACTTGGATTAGCATCCAATCAAGAGAATGTAAATATAAGGAATAACTGTCAGATTTTTTGATTTCATGACGATGATCAATCGATTGGCTTGCGTGATAATTTTATGCATAAATGCCGATCCTTCGGTGTTTATGCAAATTATCATGCAAGCCAATCGATTGACCACATCATGAAATCAAAAAATTAGACAGTTATTCCTTAATTACATCAAACAAAAAAAGGTTGATAATGTAAATTATACCCCCCCCCACCTTCCCATTATCCGAATTTTCTGTTCTACCAGGAATATGAGCAGGACATAGAGAATTTGTATTGTCCATCTTTCATCCTTCTTTCCAACACGCTTTGTGATTAGCTCATTGATCAATTTCAACAAAACTATTCAAGATACATCTGTTATTATTGTCAAACATCATATACTGATACATATTGAAGAGGTTAGCATTTTTAAACATTGACCTCTCCTTTGCATGACCTTGGCTTAACTTGTCCTAAAATTGTGTTTAGTATAATTTCAAAGTATCTATTCCAAATATTTTTATTTAATTTTATATTCTGGGGCATATTGATGAGAGCTATTCTGCATCAAAGACCCTCTCTATGACCTTGACCTTACTATTATTAAATTTATGTTAGCTTAATTTCTTAGAAACTATTCAAGACATTTTTATGCCCCGCCATGAATATGGCTGGGGCATATAGTGTTTGTCATGTCCTTCCGTCACACTTTGTGTTCAGCTCAGTTGAAAGCTTAGTTTCAAAGAAACTATCCCAGATATTTTCATCAAAATTCATATGCTGATAGATATTGATGAGAGCCATGCAACTGCATCAACATTTTTTGACCTTGACCTTTCCTTTGACCTTGACCTAACTTTTCTTAAATTAGTGTTTAGCTCAGTTTTAAACATACCATTAAAGACAGTGTTATCAAACTTCAAATGTTGATACATACTGATGAGAGCTATTCAACTGCATCAACATTTTTGACCTTGACATTTCCTTTGACCTTGACTTCACTTATCTTTAATTAGTGTTTCGCTTAGTTTTAAAGATACCATTCAAGATATTTTTTTTCAAACTTCATTGATGAGAGATATGCAACTACATAAACATTTTTGAGCTTGTCCTTTCCTTTGACCTTGACCTCACTTTCCTAAATCAGTGTCAAACTTCATATGCTGATACATACTGATGTAAGCAATTCAACTGCATCAACAATTTTGACCTTGACCTTTTATTTGACCTTCACTTTTATCAAATTGTGTTTAAGTCAGTTTTAATCAAAGACATCATTTCTAGATAATTTTATCAAACTTCATATAATGAGACATATTGATGAGAGATATGCAACTGCATCAATATTTTTGACTCACTTTTATCCATTTGTGTTTAAGTCAGTTTTAAAGAAACCATTTATAATATTTGTTCAACTTCAAATGCTGATACTTACTGATGAGAGCTTTTCAACTGAATCAAAGTTTTTGACCTTGGCATTTCCTTTGACCTTGACCTCACTTTAATGAAATTAGTGTCAGACTTCATATGCTGATACATACTAATGTAAACAATTCAACTGCAGAACTATTCAAAATATTCTGATCAAATTCTATACAGGTACAAATTTTAATGTTGCTTTACTAATATACCCTCGGCGGGGCATTCATGTCCTATGGACATATTTCTAGTTTTATCTAAACACTTATACATACATATGCCAATAGCTTATCAGCTGCGTCCAATTTCTTTTTTAACTTGACCTTCCCTATGACCTTTAATTTTACAACACAATTTTTGTTCAAGTTTTATATTCTGTTAATTTCAAAGAAACTATTAAATATATTTTCACCAAAATTCACACACTAATACTAATTGGTGAGAGTTGTTCAACTGCATCATAATTTTCTGACCTTAATTTCCCCATTTTCCTTGACCTCAATATTAATCATATATACCCTCATCTTAAACAAAGAAGCAAGGTACATTTCTTTAAACGGAGCATTACCAATGAACACTGGGCAGGGCATTCATCACTTCAAATCTCCTGACACTATACTGTACTACTTGTAATAACTTAGATTAAATTAAGTATCAAAACAAAGCACAGATCTAGTGAAGCTAGATCTACTGGGCAGGGCATTCATCACTTCAAATCTCCTGACACTATACTGTACTACTTGTAATAACTTAGATTAAATTAAGTATCAAAACAAAGCACAGATCTAGTGAAGCTAGATCTACTGGGCAGGGCATTCATCACTTCAAATCTCCTGACACTATACTGTACTACTTGTAATAACTTAGATTAAATTAAGTATCAAAACAAAGCACAGATCTAGTGAAGCTAGATCTACTGGGCAGGGCATTCATCACTTCAAATCTCCTGACACTATACTGTACTACTTGTAATAACTTAGATTAAATTAAGTATCAAAACAAAGCACAGATCTAGTGAAGCTAGATCTACTGGGCAGGGCATTCATCACTTCAAATCTCCTGACACTATACTGTAGTACTTGTAATAACTTAGATTAAATTAAGTCTCAAAACAAAGCACAGATCTAGTGAAGCACCTTTAATGCATACATGCTACTTTACTGACTCCTGAAAATGTGAATATAATATCATAATACCAGGTAAATACATGTACATGAATAAGTACCTAATATGCAATCATATTTCGATATTAAATAAAAACCTAAAATAACATAAATAACTAAAATTTTTATTCTTTAAATAATCATAACCCTCTCTGTCCATCTCAAATGTCACATCATTCTGATAAAAAATAAAATCTTGCAGAAATAAAAAAAAAAACACAACACTATCAGAAAATAGAATGTAAGATCTCGACACATGTAACAAAGACCACTGGTCCATAACTCACAGTGTTGTATTTTCAAGAAACCATTTCAATTTCTTTGTTACCATTAAATAAAGGCACCTGGTACCTATGAAAAACTTAACATTAACTTCTAATAAACACTGACAACATCACTATACTGCTACAAACAATCTGTACACACACATTAAACTTAACACTGCAATAGTCTGTCTGGTATATAGGTGCAGACAAGACTACCACTGAAGACGAAAAAAGTTCAAAACTTGTAATTGCACTTGTGATAATTATAAATTACACATACACATACATGTACAAGAAGATCAGTTTAAATACTGAAAATAACAGTCATGCAATATTTGATGGTTGGACGTAATCCCGAGGTCCACTGTGTGTGGAGATTACAGCAAAGTTATATAAATGATGGCTATTGGCTTGTTACAAGTTAACGGGAGGTCAGCAGAGGTCATTATTGCACAAGCAGCTTTGATTTCAATTAATGAAAATGACTCTAAACGTACTGAGATGCCATCCTAATAAATGACTTTTACCTTTATAATACCCTTTTCATTTTAACTGTTGACATGTTAAATGAAGATATGAATTTATAATCAGGTTTTCTAAGGTTATCATTTCAGTTCAGTTGTACATGAGTAGGATACGTTTATGTATATTTCTTCCATCTGAATTCAAATTCAACTTTTGATATTTAAAGTACTGAATTAGGGAATATAGGAGCAAAATTCATGTATAGTAAAAAAAAACTTTAGCATCAAATGGTCCCATATGTAAAGCTGATGGCACAGATTCAAAACTCCATTTTGTCTACAAAAATTTTTTTTTTTTCTATATCACATAGAATTCAATAAATCAGGTTAAAAATGTGAAATTCTAGAAAAATTGTGAAACATTTGACTAGACTTTACATATACATGTGTACTCAAAAATATGTAATTCAACAGTTGAAATATAAAGAAAGAAAAAGAAACTGCATGACATAAAAATAGAAAATATACACTGTATATCTCATATACAAAGAATAAATATATACACCAAGATCCGGTCAGCTTCAAAATACACAACATGTATATAAATTTTGTACTAAACTAAACATTATATCGAAATACAGCACTAATGGTTTTAGGCAAACATTAAATAAAACGTTTATTGGCAGTGCCTTTCAAGTTAGCTTACTTGAGAGGTACGAAATAAAAAAAAAAAAATCAGGGCAAATGGTATTTGACAACCAATGTGAACAAACAAGTTCCTGAACTGATTTTCATTGCACATTGAAACCCGAATTCACAGCCGTGTTAGAAACGTGAGATAATTACGATGATTTATCACTGCTGTTACTACTGGTCTCTTCAAAGTCGTCGTCGTCGTGGTGATGGGTGACCTTGGTGGGTGTGGACGGACGAGAGTGTGGTAGGTGGGAAACTTTAGCGTACTTGGACCCAGAATTTATAGATCGTTGTCTTGCAATGGTAAAGTCATCAGTTGGTGCTGTCGTCTCATGTGACACAGTCGATTCATGAGGTAACTACAAATATGCCACAATTATCAATGCAAAGAGACTATTGGTATTCAAATACCAAAAGACAATATAGAGCGAAAACAATTTGCAAGCTTGCTTTTTGAGAGTCAGGAATTCACAAAACCCAAAATAGTTATTTTTTTTCTTTCCCTGTAACATTCTGTAATTACTGTAAATGTATTATATTTGGCGTGTACGATATTTGGCGGAAATTGACTTTTGAATAAGTTAGCATAGATTTGATTTAGCGCATTTCTTAATATTGTTATTTATGTGTTTATGTACAAGACATTTAGCTTTGTACTTGAATTAGCAGTTGCTGCATTCCGCCAAAGCTGCTAAAAAGAATACACAGCCAAATGTAATACGTTTACAGTACTACCCATCATAATATTATACACATGCTTACCAACATTGCGGGTGCTCTGAACATGTAAGTAAAGGGGTAATGTATAAGGTTGATGACAGAGGCCGCATAAATATCAGCGAACCGCTGGACCTGGGAGGAGAAAAAGGTCAACCGCGAACCTGAAACACCAAACACAGGGATTACAAAACATTCAATGGAATCACTGTGCTTTCTCTTACATGAAATAATATTTAATGAGATTTTTCTTAATCCATAGTATGAAACTGAACATTGCTTATTGGATCCATGAAATAATAATACAATTCACTTCTTAGTAAGCAATATTGGCATATAATTCAAGCTTTTACTGTAGACAGATAATCATGAAAATTGAGAGAACAGTTACAGAGCTACCAAATAAATTAAGCTTGAAGTTTAAAGCTTTCTATTGTTTAATAAGATAGGTAAACTTAATTACCACTTCGGAATAGACTTCCCAGCATTCCATATTTCAGGTCTATGTCATGCACTGTGTCCTAAAATCAGGAAAGTACTACTTATACTGATAACAAATTACAAATCATCAAAAATTGTAAAGCATTGTCAGATGAATAAACATATTGTTATTCAATAAAAAGAGCTGATAGTTTAACATTATAATGAATGATATCCAGTCAGAAATTACCATCATGGCTCTCTGGACATTTGTTATGTCTGGTTTTTCCAAATTACTACTGTCTAGGTTTCTGGAAAGAAATAAACCAAATTATATCTAAATGCAATGACTACTTGACTTTTCAACAAGAAAAATGATACATACATTACTACCGGTAATATTTTGTCAGTTTCAAAGTTCAAACTATTAATCATATCTTTTGGTTGATCATCCTACTTACCATTAATAAAGGCATTATCATGATTACAGCTAATTACAAACTCATACTCGGATCAATGCTTTTACACTAATCATAATTGAACATATCATGCAGTAAAATTTGTTTTGTACCAACATGACTACATGTATAGCTTTTGGGAGTACATTTATAACAATTCCTTGAAAATTTGATGGTTACAATGCATTCTGATATAGGAAATTTACAGAGCAGAAAGAGATAGAGAGAGAGGATTCAGTTTCCCACATGTTATAACTTTTGTTATTACTAAGTTCTCCTGCAACACAAAATTGAATATTTTCCTTTAATTACAAAGGATCTTTCAGACTTACTTGTAGATATAGCTTAAGGTTTGTTCCAGAGTTTTGATTTTGTTGAACAGTTCCGACTGATCAGTCCATACATGGAGTTCTGTGGAAAGCTCGGGAACCACCAGAAATGTCCTCCATCCTCTCTGCTTCTTTGACCGTAAAATATCCCCAAATATGTGGTCTCCCACGTACAACACGTCCTTACCCTGGGCTCCGATCATCTGAGATATAACCTCACAGGACCCTGACAGTGTAAAGGTTTGTAAATATCTGTGTTTTTATAGAAGGATTCAATTTTGGCATTTCTAAGAAGAGTTCAGTTCATTTAAATTGTAAGCAACATTCCAATGCTAATAATTCATTCAGCATTAAAAGTTAAAGTTATCTTTCTTAACCTTATCAAATTGCTAAATTTGAATCTCACTAAAAATTGCACTATCAAAAATCCTGACTTTTAGACCTTATATTTAATTGAATGCCTACAAAATCACATCCTTTTAAATACTTTATAATTCATTCATATTTTAGTCTTCTAATTTCGCAAATCTAGGGAACTGCATTACATCCGAGACATAATCCTTCACATAATTTTACATCAAACAATCACATTAAAATAGATGTACTAAATAAATATTCTTGTGAATTTATTTGAAAGGAACAGTTCTGATACAAGAACCTAATTTTATTTCTTGCTAAAATCATATGATTTACCTCCAGAATAAGCACAGTGTTGTTCAAGTTTCCCCATATGGTGCCCAATACTTAGTTTACAGGAAGTCTGAAAGAAAATAGACATGTCAAACTTGTACATACAAAACAGCACATTAGGTGTCTTTCTCTAACATTTTTAAGTATGTAGAGATAAAAACGTTATAATTTATAAAAGTGGTTTGCTAACATCGCCACACACAAACTGGGTTTTTACAATCAGACACTCGTATGCGATAACTGTCTAGATATTTAAACTACTAGTAATTATTAATAACATGGCTGCCTGCCTAACTTACTGTGTCTACTTTTCTAAGGATGGTCCCTTCTTCAAAGAATATAGGTTTCTTAGCATCCACAACAACGTAGTCAAAGTAAGATGTCCATTTCCTCCCTTGTGTCTTAAAAAAAGTTAAGCCACGATAAGTACATGGATTTACAGATCCTAAAATAATCTAAATATTGAATAATTTAATTAACATTTCTTTTGAAAAATATGTATTAAAGGACAAAATAATTGACCAAACTTGTTTAATTTATATTTTAAATATGCATCCAGGCTTACATGTACTTTGTCTCTAATTGTTAAAAAAAAGTCTGAATTTGTGCCATCACATACTATATACTGAGGTGAATATAAAATTTTACTTATATATCTACTCCTAGTAAATTCTTATTATCATTGAAACCATGCAAGTGTCTTTGAATTCTGTGAATAATTCAGGATACAATGTATTGTCAAATACAGGTGTCTTAAGATTTTTGATGTAGATTTTTAATATCTGTTCAGAAGGAATTTTCAAAGTTACTCCCCCCTTTTTTTTCCACAGCCCCAGTAATTTTGATTCTTACCTCTGGAAAGTCTGTCAGATATTCCATAATTTTCTAAATAAAGAGAAAAACTTTTATTTCACACTAAGTAAACAAATCATATCTCAAACTTAAAAAGTCAGTTATAAAATTAAAATGTGTCTGTTTATTTCAGATAAAATTTCATACAGTATCAAAATGCTATGAAAAATATACAATTGGAATTGTCAAAGATCATCTGATTGAATACTCATATAAGAATACTCTCAATTAAAGAATTTGATTGAATACTCAAATTATAATAAAATACTCTTAATCAAAGATCATCTATTTGAATACTTACATTAGAATACTCGTAATCACTGTTTGTGATAATCATGGTCTTCTTTCCACTTTCACGAATTCTATAAATAAAAAAAAAATTTGCACATTCTGTGGCATTCTTATTTAGAAATTCTATAAATAAAAAAAAATTTGCACATTCTGTGGCAGAACTGTTGAAGTTACAATTAAAGACAAGAGGCCCATGGGTCACATCGCTCACCTGAAAAGCTTTGGCCATTCTGTTTATTACCAGATTTCCCCCTTGTAATACAAATTGTGACCCCGCCCTACCCCCGGGGGTCATGATTTGTTCAATTTACAATCTACACTACCACAAGATGCTTCCACATAAGTTTCAGCTATTCTGGCCCAGTGGTTCTTGAGAAGAAGATTTTCAAAGATTTTTTCTATATATTTCTATGTAAAACTTTGATTCCCCATTGTGGCCCCACCCAACCCGGGGGGTCATGATTTGAACAATTTAGAATCTACACTACCCCAGGATGCTTCCACATAAGTTTCAGCTTTTCACGCCCAATGGTTCTCGAGAAGAAGATTTTTAAAGATTTTTCCTATATATTTCTATGTAAATCTTTGATTCCCCATTGTGGCCCCACCCAACCCCGGGGGTCATGATTTGAACAATTTACAATCTACACTACCCCAGGATGCTTCCACATAAGTTTCAGCTTTTCTGGCCCAGTGGTTCTTGAGAAGAAGATTTTCAAAGATTTTTCCTATGTATTTCTATGTAAAACATTTCCCCATTGTGGCCCCAGCCTAGCCCCGGGGGTCATGATTTGTTACACTACCCCAAGATGCTTCCACATAAGTTTCAGCTATTCTGGCCCAGTGGTTCTTAAGAAGAAGATTTTCAAAGATTTTTCCTATATATTTCTATGTAAATCTTTGATTCCCCATTGTGGCCCCACCCAACCCCCGGGGGTCATGATTTGAACAATTTACAATCTACACTACCCCAGGATGCTACCACATAAGTTTCAGCTTTTCTGGCCCAGTGGTTCTTGAGAAGAAGATTTTCAAAGATTTTTCCCAAATATTTCTATGTAAAACATTTCCCCATTGTGGCCCCAGCCTAGCCCCGGGGGTCATGATTTGAACAATTTACAATCTACACTACCCCAAGATGCTTCCACATAAGTTTCAGCTATTCTGGCCCAGTGGTTCTTGAGAAGAAGATTTTCAAAGATTTTTCCTATATATTTCTATGTAAATCTTTGATTCCCCATTGTGGCCCCACCCAACCCCCGGGGGTCATGATTTACAATCTACACTACCCCAGGATGCTTCCACATAAGTTTCAGCTTTTCATGCCCAATGGTTCTTGAGAAGAAGATTTTTAAAGATTTTTCCTATATATTTCTATGTAAATCTTTGATTCCCCATTGTGGCCCCACCCAACCCCCGGGGGTCATGATTTGAACAATTTACAATCTACACTATCCCAGGATGCTTCCACATAAGTTTCAGCTTTTCTGGCTCAGTGGTTCTTGAGAAGATTTTTTAATGACCCCACCCTATTTTTGTCTTTTCTTGATTATCTCCCCTTGTGAAGGGACTTGGCCCTTCATTTTAACAATTTAAATTCCCCTTCACCCTAGGATGCTTTGTACCAAGTTTGGTCAAAATTGGCCCAGTGGTTCTTGAGAAGAAGTCGAAAATGTGAAAAGTTAACAGACAGACGGACGGACAGCTAGACGGACGGACGACGAACAAAATGTGATCAGGAAAGCTCACTTGAGCCTTCTGCTCAGGTGAGCAAAAAAAACATAGTGCCCATAACAGAATATGACAGCAGAGCAATTGCTATCCATAACACCATGTTCGCTGAATAGCATTGCTTGTTTCTTAATTAGAAGTTGAACTGACCTGTCCAGTAGTATAGGCAGTCTTGGGTCTTTGTGGACATACTCCTCCAAATTGGCAACTGTGTCCTTTTTAAGACTTCCCTTTGATCAGAAAGCAAGACATAAGGATAATAAATTAAATAGGGTATAATTCATCTGATTTTATAAGGTGAATACCCGGTAATAATGAAAAGTATAATAATGAATACTGATACACAGAAATAACTTATATTGACTTCATGCATTGTATAATAATAAATAGACAGAAATAACTTACATAGTAATGGACCCAGTCTACAGCAGCCCTGACATCTTGGAAAATGGACTTGAAGGACATATATAGTTCTCCACACCTCACCCCTTCTGTTGTCCTGTAATACAGATTAACAAAGCCTTTATTACCCGGTACTGTCCATGTACAGAAGAATCTATTCTCAGTCATTATAAGTGTGTGCACATGAAGATAAAAAGCAAAGGAGACAATATTTGACTAGAGTACAGCTAAGCCATCAACTGTCTTTTGCTTTCAATTTTGGAGTAATTCTGATGTGTTATTTCATAAGATTTAAATTTAAAAAAAGATTTTACATGACATTGTAGATATTGTCAGCAATAAGCTTATTTTTGGGCAATTTTGAATTACATGTATATGCATCTAGTAGTTGATCCAAATAACAAATTCATGTTAAAATGATCATATAAATTTACATGTAAATTGATTCCAGAAGATTGAGATGAAAAGCATTAAATTGAGAGTTGCCAACAATGCTGAATAAAGAATACCTTCACCTTAATCTAAAGCTTACATTAAAAAAATTAGTAGTAATCCACATTTTATGTGATTTCATCAATTTTGAACATTTCTTATTGACAAACAGAAGAATGCAGGATCTATAGACATCAGTTCATGCAGTGTTCTTAAGAGCATGCATACCTGAACCTATTAATAATCAGTTAAAGTGAGATGCACTTTCTCATGGATTGTGTCACACTTTATCATGGGTTTACAAATCTCATCAAAATTCATCTCAATCATAAAAACATTTACTGCCTACATGGTACTACATGTAAAAATTGAGGTGGAATGGCATAGTTTCTTTAAAATAATTTTTACTGAAATTAAATGATGCTTTCATGCTTTAGGAAGAAGAGAATTTTTTCTTGTACACATGCAAGCAGCAAATGTTTGAAGTAACAACTTTTTATTTAGTCAGAAGTGATGTACTGTAAACTTTTTGGGGGTGGTTTAAACATTTCCAAAGACATGTTATAAAAGAAATCTTTTAACATGTTGTTCTCTAGATCTCATGTCTTACCTAGACATACTTAACTGCCCTTACTTGAGGGACACGTTTGGCAGCCGTGAGGCACCCAGGGGGTGTCTGCTCCGTCTACCTGTCAAATAGGGGAAAAAAATCGTCCCAGCTGTCCAAAGGTGAGCAATACTAATGAACAGTACAACAGCACTGCAGAGTCTTTAAGAATACTTTGACATTTTCCCTTGAGCTAGATCAATGCACCAAGTTTTCACATAAATATTTATGCTACCGGGTAGTTAAATCAATTGCTTGTATTAAAATGTTTTTCAAAAGACAGATTCAAAAATTTACAGTAATTAAATACCTGTTGTTTCCTGAGTTAAGGTATTTATATTGCCACCCTGCCAGTTGAAATTGATGAGAATGGAAAATTTGGAGAATTTAGAAAATACATTATGCACTAAGAAAGATTACATTATGACTTGGTAGGTCTCGATCTAGCTCTGAAATCAGGAAAAGTAACTCTGCAGTGCTAACTACCTTGCATCCCTTGATTCATGTGATGTATGCAATAATAGATAAAATAGTCCGGAAAACCTACCTCTCAAATTCTTCACTGGTTGTGAAGTAATCAATCAGGCAGGCAAGCATGTAGGTTTCTGTAAACAGAACAGTCATGATGAATCAGCTAAATCTTATTGGTATATATGATTATTATTTTCTTTAAAATTGTAGGCAATTTCAGTTAAATATTGCATCCGAGATTATGCAAATATTGTATTTTGACAATTATTACAACTTAGAATCATTTATAATCATGTTAACATCTCAGACCTGGATGCTTAGGAGTACATTGTACAAAGACAAAATACTGCATGACTCAAGATGTGGGGAAAAAAAATATCCTGATTCACCTTTCCAGATACATCCCTGATTCTATAAATTTTTGCAGGTTCAATTTTGGCAGCTTTTCTCATGATTAATGACTGTTAATTTTTCAGTATTAAAAATATATTTTATTCTGAACACATATTTTACCAGTAAACATCTTCACTAGCCAAGGGTTCCTAATCTGCTCCCCTTGCCCTCTTAGGAGCAGATAGGAGTGGATCCAAAAACCTTTGGCTAGTGAAGATGGGATTTCTTTTGAATGATGTCGACTGTCTAGTACCTGGGAGGTGAAATAGTGTGTTGAGAACATAGACTCTCTTCTCATCCAGGTTGATATACTTGTTGGGGTATAATTCTCCTATTTCTGACCTGAAAACAGAGTGGAAAAACAACATCACAACAAATTTAACTACAAACTACTCCTCTGATGACAATACATTATGATCAGTAATAGATAAGTAAAATTCACATGAGGTTTTTACGAGTTTGTGTAACTTTTATTTCCTTTATGAATGAAATACATGCTTGAATAAATAAAATTCAATTTCTAATGATTAATGATGAGTTTATTCCTATATAAGAATGAATCTAAGAACAATATGTGTAAACAAGTATTTCATTCATAAGTGAAATAAATATACATTGGTTACAACATAAAATATTGTTATAAGACTGTCCTGAATAAATCCCATGTTCTACATCATCTGCATGCATATAATTATACATATAGACTTTAGATAGATTACATTTTGATTACAGTTTACATTCTAAAAATGCTGTATTTTTTCCTCCTCAAAAATTTTTGAACATGACTCTGATGTGAAAAGTAGAATTTATTTAAGACAGCCTCCATTAATCAGTAAATAAGATAATGATATTTGCTACATCTCCTATATAAATCTTAACTTATTTTGTCAAACAGAAATAAAATGTTCAAGAATAAATAAAACTCAAAGTAGCTAATTAAAACATGTCTTTGAATGATATTTTATGATTTAGACTTGAATAATCAGTGAAGAAATAAAATCATACTCACTAGAAAGGAAAGAGACAATAAATAGTCTGGTGTGTTTCACCATGCATCCTGTCATAGGCATTTAACTAACAAGTCAAACATCAACAAACTGAACTAATACCCTTAAATACCCTTATTGTAGGGGGATGGGAGGAGTGTCTTAAAAAAGGTCAGTTCAGAGATTGATTAACTGCATTTTACTCCTGACATTTTTGAATATAGTGATTCCTATTATACCCCCTGCTTGTTTATATAATTATAAATAATACATGTAATCATACATAACTTTAGCATTTCTAATAAAAGATATGGCCTACTGCTAAGCAACCATCAATGTAAATCCCTGTGACCTGACATAATTTCTTCAAATAATCATTCAATATTATTTATCTTTCATGCAAGTTACCTTTGTTTTAAAAATTAAATTCTACAGTTCTACCATTATTATTACTTGCCTGCTCAAAATATGTACAGGTCAGTTTCTTTGACTTGATCTTGCCCTGACTTGACAAAATGCCTCTTAATTCAGAATTTTAATTATGACCTTAGAATCCTTAGCAAATCTTTTGTTAAGATCTTCTATATAATACTTTATGTCCAAAACAAAAGGAGGGACAGGTAAAATGCTAGGTGATTCTAAATCTTGCTTTATGTGGGTAAAAGTTTACCATTTTAAAATTCACAGAAGTTCAAAAATTATGAGTGGTTTAACATACCCTTTCAGAAATTTGAAGCCATGTACACACACCAGTATGTTTCCATAGGCATCTACCTTCAACAGGTTTCCATATTGTTTTTCAAACCAAAGTCCTCTGGAAAAACATTCACAAAAGAATTATTTGCTGTCTTTTAATTGATGTTTTAACAATTAATGTTTAACTTTTATCAGTACAAGATTTAAGGTAATGTATTGCACGTAAGTTAGCGTGTTCAAAATTTAACGCAATCACTGAGTATGGAATTGTTGGTGTAATCATGAATTAGCACTACAAAGGATCAGGCAGTGTATTGTATTATTTGTTAGTGATATTCATGAATAAGCCCACTGTTGTTGGTGCTAAAACTGCTAAGATATGAAGCCAGCTTTTAAAAGTACCCATACAGAATGTCATCCACAAACAAGGATGATTCCACAGCATATAAATTTAGTGGCTATGAGGTAGATTTTAATTTGCTGATAAGACTAATGAAGACTATTTACCTGCAAGGAAATGTGGGGTCGTATTCAAATTCTTTGATGTCTGCTGGATAACCAATCGTGATCAAACGTTCTTTCAACATGTTGAACCCCATGGTCTCGTACTGGGGGGATTTATACACTATTGTAAGAGAGAGAGAGCAGTCTTATCACCAATTACTTTACTCTTTTTTCTTTTTCTCCTAAACTTACTAACTTTCATCTTGTATAATATTAGATGGTATTTGGGTCAAGGTCATGAAAGTATGCTGCCATTGAACATGAACTTGACCAAGGCTTTATATCAAGATCAAGTTTTTTAATCACACTTCTCAAGTTATGTGTCGATCATTCAAATAATTTGCCCCAAAGATCTTGCATGAAGGTAGTAATGTAAGTTCATATTAAAGAGATCTCTAGATCTGTGTTAAAAATGAGCTTCCAAAGTCTCAAGTTACAAAGTAATGGCAGAATGCATGGAAATGCAGACTTATAGATGGAAATTAAAGGTCATTCCTACCCTACTCATTACCTAAAAACCCCACCCCCTTAACCTACACACACACTTTCCCAAATAATGTAAATACAATCCTTATTTCATCACAAATTAAAATAGATTCAGTTATTCAGTTAACCTGTATCATTTCAATATATAATGTTCTACATGTATATAGTATTAAGTACAGTGTAATTTGATGCATATATTCAAGAAATGTCGAAGTAAAAGCTCATTTTCTGTGATTCAAACCTGCAAGTGTGTAATCCATATCAAAGCCAAAGAATTTGATCTTGTCCAAATTCAAACTTCTGTTTACAAACACTCTGAAAACAAAAACAAAGGGAAAAAAGGTTAATATCCTTTCTGCATCCTTGAATAAATCTGTAAAATTAAATTATATACAGATAAGTTTTGGTGTAAATATCTTTAAATTAGACTTGATATTTTTAAAAATTCATTAATTACAGGTGTAATTTGGGGGTTATTAAATATTGATTACAAAACAACAGAATTTTAATAGCCTTCACCCTAAAAAACTGATTTATTAACATTTATTATTTATTGACATTATATAATCACCTTTTGTGGTCTATCATCTTTAAGGATCAAGGTAATATTACGCAGAGTGAGAGGTTCCTTTTATATATTTAACCCCATGTTCTGATGACATTGTTATGTTCTGACTATTAACAGGAGTGGTTTAAACTCTCCGTGTATCAACATTTAACAGATTATTTAACACAGGTTTACTACAAAGGTGGAACATAAAACATTCCAGGCAGTGATCATGTTGATAAATTACAAATACCGGAGAAAGTTGACTTCCACTTTAATTGTAATGCAAAAAATTTGCACTCATGAACTCCATATTTATCAAATTAGTGAAATATAATTTTACATAAAACATGTTAATATGTCTAAACTAATATATTCAAAATACACTGGAGCAAACTTGTCTTCTGATTTTTCCTTCTAACCACTTCTCTAAGCAAGGTATGGCCATACCCTCATCACAAAACACCTGTATACTGCTCAACTTAATATCACAGCTATGCTCAAGCAAGACCCATGGGCCACAATGATCACCTGAGTTACTTATACCCTATTGTTCCCCAACATACGTTTTCCTCTACATTTTTATCACCTTTTGTGGTCCCGATCCTACACACAGGGCCATAATTTGAACAGAGATGGATCTACACTACCAGAACATGCTTCCACATTAGTTTGATCAGGGATTTGCTCTAGACTTGAGGAGTATCAAAGTATTTTTTCCCTATGTAATTCCTATTATGGATCCACCCCAATCCATTGGGGACATGATTTAAACAATTCTGAGTTTATACTTCCACATAAATTTCAGCTATTATGATATGATGGTTCTTGAAAAGAAGATTTTTTAAAGATTTTTCTATTTCAAATGAATGGAAAACTTCCTATTTTGGGCCGACAATTACCCAATATTTATTACATACTCTTCAAGTGACGTAGTGTAGCTATACAGGCAGATATGTTCCCTGCCGTATCCTAAGATAGTTTAACACGTCAGTTCATTTAAAGCTGTATCTCCCTTAATTACCTGTGACTGGGTTCTCGTTTCCAGACCTCATTATCAGACACCCCATTAGTAAAGCTATCCTCCAGGGGCCTCTTTTCCTGGGGGGTGCCCGGACTGGACGCGGGGAGATGAGTTGCCATGGTTACAATCAATAGTCACTGGAAGGTCTGCCAAAGAGAAATGCATACAGATATATACCAAATACCAAAATATAGGCTTCATGTGGGAAGAAATTTTTGTTGTCTATTTTTGGCATAATTATTCAAGAATGCCTCCCATACATAACATGTAATTCAGGTAAAACTCAGGTGATTACTTCATAAGTCTGTCAGCTTCCTGACTTTTCAAATTTAATTGGAGCTACCATGGACTAAATTAACATCTCATTAACATGTCTCTAATCACGTCCCACACTGCTATCTTATTCTGAGTCCTTCCTAAAATAAATTTTATGACATTACATGAAAAGGATATGTTGTCTTTTTTATATGTGCTCCAATATATACTTATGTATAAGCATAAATTTTTACATTAGCACATGTATACATAAACATACCATTTTATTTATCACAAACCATACTTGAATCCATAGGCCTGCACTGGAAGTTTACATAATTATAGTATATGCAAAGGAATGTTGTTTTATACAAGCACATACCATATATTTACATTATGATTATCAAATTTGCAATGCCCGTACTTGAATAAACTCATTAATTAATTCATATTATGATATATAACTTCCTTCTATATAGTAGCCCTATTTTCCAGAATAATTAACTTATTACTTACTAGCTAGGGATTCAGTTACCAAATCAGAACAAAAATATGCATGTAACAGTTAATTCTCTTCACTTCACAGCCTCAAAAATAATCAAAGTACTCAGAAGTACTGAAAGCCGGGCTCATTTACAGGGTAATGAACAAAGACCGTGTTGACAGTTTAAAATCAAGTTCAGACGTTTAGAAGATATGTTACACACAAAAATATCTCAATGGCATGTTAAGTATCAAAGAGTTTTAAAAATTAAATAGAATATGGCTAGAAATTAATTGTGTAAAATATTTATCACATGTATCGTTTCGGGTTTTATATACAAACAGAAGTAAATAAACACCGATGCAGCAAGATAAATAAAGGTCAAACGACTATTGACTGATGTGTCCTCAGCGGGGAGTTTTGCATCAAGTCATTAATGATGTTCCCTGCATTTGTGTTAGCCAGATAGTACAACCTTTATTTATAGAATACTAGTATGACGCAGACAGGGATACCTGGTGAAAACCTTTCACACCTTTTGAATGGCTTTGTAAAATATTAGTCAAAGGAGCCAGGAAAATATTAAACAATTCAATATTTTGATAAAAATATTCGATTTACTATTTCTTAGGGTGTTTGAATGGATTTTGTTTTCTCAACAGCGGCTGGGCGTACGTACTATATTTTTACTCGTAAACTCAATTTGGCAGTGAAGAAGCAGCATTTTTGTTGCTCACCGTCGCAATAGCCGGGCATTGCTCTACGAGCAATGAGCCCGGCTAAAAACATATAAGATGTAAAAGAAGCCTCTAAATAATCTCCATCAAAGAACAATCATTATAATGAACCATTTCTAATACAGTATTACTATAAATAATATTAAAAAATACATGTGATCAATTCATCCTAACCATTGAAAATTCAAATTATGTTCACAGTGGCTGTAGAAAAATCAATATTAATACAAGTATGCCTTGCAATACAGCAGGTCATTTTTATCTAAGATATGTTTGAATCATGGTATCATAAATCATTTACTGTTGTACACATTTCAACAGGTCTTAGACTTCAAAAGGTAAAATGGTAAAAATGTTCTCCCATTTCAAAGCAGTTCTAACAGTCTAAATATCATGGAATCTATCAAAATCATATAAGAACACCATGTATACTCACAATATTATGATAATCACTAAAACTAATGCTTACTGAATCAATGTCTGATGTGTTCCACAAATGTGATATGAGGTCACTCACTGAATTAAATATGAGGTACCAGTTTAATATATATTCAAGATAACCAACGATCATGATAACACCCTCTGCATAGTATCAGAATGAATGTCACATATATAGGTAAAGTGGAATTTAGAATAGACCGTGTTTAAATAGACCAAGGTAAAAGTCTAAAACACATCACTGAAAAGAAGCATGACTGATAAACTGTACATCCACTGATCCACAGAGTTAGCACAGGGTACCGGTACATAGCTCATTTTCTGAATTATCTACCTTTACTACTGTGGAATCATTTTAATTTGTGGGGGATCAATATTTGTTGGCAAGCAAAATCTGACCTGTTTGTTGGGACAAAATTTCGTGGGTTACTCGTAAAAGGATGGTTCAATATGTTAACAAAATAATAAACGTTCGTGGGGATGTAAATTTGTGGGTAAGGGTGACCCATGAAATCTACGAACATTGGTCCCCCAACAAACAATATTAGATAGAGTAAGGAAACATTATTTTTGCACACTTCAAAGCACATTTATGATAATGATACTTGCCCCCCCCCCCATCTCCATGTCAAATGGATGCCAATATTAAAAAAGGGAACAACTGTAAATTTAAAATGACTATAACTAATGTAAAACAAATAGTCATTTACTAGTCAGGGGCAAATGGGATAATTTCCCTTATACAGTGTTTTCCCTATATTTCAAAGTAAAGGGTTAGAGATCATTTGTAACAGGCTAGGGGCTGAGGATTATGAACAGAATCTCTGTTGACATTATAAAAATTATTTCAAAATGGCATTTTTGTCAAATGAAGCGGTCAATTTAGCTGGTAGCCAGTTCTTAGGGAAAACACTGCTCATAGTGTATACCAAATTTGACGTCTGTAAAACAAATCTTTCTCATGATACCAAGCAGATCTGAAATATCATCCTTTGTCTAGTGTCAATGTTATATGACCTTTGGCCTTGTGACCAAAAAATCAACAAGGCAGAAGTGTTAATGTTATGTGACCTCTGACCTTGACTATAACTTACATTTTTCAAATCTTAGAAAATCTGGGTCAGAGATTGTTCATTTATAGCTCACCTGAGCTGAAAGCTCAAGTGAGCTTTTCTGATTACCTATTGTTCCTCCTTCTGTCCATCTGAAAACTTTTCACACTGTCCATCTGCACGCCTGAAAACTTTTCAAATTTTCAACTTCTTCTCAAGAACTACTTGGCATATTTCAACCAAACTTGGTACAAAGCAACTTTGGGTAAAGGAGAGTTTCAATTGGTAACAGTCATTTTTCTACACTCAATTTAGGTCCGAATATCGGCCCTTTCCCCTCTCAAAAATTACCGATTTTTCCCCAATTTTCAACTGCTTTTTTCCCAAAATCAAAACGTATTGTTTTGGTTATATTGAATTTTTTATGTACGACTTATCTATAATGGAATGCTATTATTTTTGGTCATTCGGACGCTTGAAATAATGGCGAAAAACAGCAGTTTATTTGTGTGATTACAAGACTTGGAAATACACATCGATGTGGATGTCAAACTTGTGTGTCAATACATCGTAAGAAATTTAATATGCATGTGAATCGGTTAAACATAGCTTTATTTGTAAATTGCAAGTACTAGTAGTTCTACAAGCCTCCTTGATTTCACGAAAATTAAAATGTTTCTTCATCCTGCAGATACTAGCATTGCAGAGAAATACAGCATTGAATATATGCTTGTAAATTGTGTCAAGATTATTCCAGCTCCAATGCCAGCAATAAGGAAAAATCGGGAATTATTTTTTCTCAATTATGTCTACCATTATCATGATTATGGCAAAAAATGAAATATAGGACAATCAAAGAACAAAAATGAAAGAAAATTAAAAATGTAGAACTGTGTCCATTTTGTTGAAAAATTTTGTAGCAAATAAATTTAATAAATGATATTACATTTACTTATATATTTTATTTTACTTGTCAATATGAAGGTTAATTACAATCTTATTGTTTTTCCCAATTTGACACAAATGTCGACAATTTTTCCCAACTGAAAAGGCCCAGGCCCCTTTTAAAAACTGTAGAAAAATCACTGGGTAAAATGAAGGGCCAAGTCCCAAAAATGGGGGGGGGGGATAAACAAGAAAGATGAAAATAGGGTGGGGTCTGTCATTAAAAAGTCTTCTCAAAACCACTGGGTCAGAAAATCTGAAACTTATGTGGAAGCATCCTAGGGTAGGTAGCCTAAATTGTTAAAATAATGATCCCCGGGGGTTGGGCAGGGCCACAATATGAATATCCAAGTTTTACAATCTTTAAAAGTCTTCTCCTCAAAAAACCACTGAGCGGAAAGGCCGAGACTTATGTGGAAGCATTCTGGGGTATAGATTCTACAATCTCCATTTTATACCCCTGGGGGTTGGGCGGGGCCACAATAGGTATTACAAAGGGGAAGTCTGGTATATAAACAATAGCATGTCCAAAGCTACTCAGGTAACGATGTGGCCCATGGGCCTCTTGTTAAGATCAGGATCAAGTTTTACAAGATTCTCAATCAAGAATTCATAGCATTTGAAGACTGGGCATTCTCTAGATACGGATTTACGATTATTGCCAAAATTAAAAATATCATTTTTTGCACTGTGCATTTATATGGATCCCATTTGGGCTATTTATTATATCCTAAACGGGCTAATATGTTGACGGTGCGACCATTATGGCGAGCGCAGATGTTTATTTTGTTAGCCAACGTGACATTTGAAAATTGACGTCACATGACGTCCTATTTTTTGCTGAAAATAAATGAAGAACGTTTCGTTTGCTATTTATCTTCAATAAATCAGGGCATGTTTACTTTTAGTAGAACTTTTGCTACTATTCTCACGAGAACGTAGCTTTAACGTAGCTTAAACAAGTGATTATATCGAATGAATGTGCAGTAGTCCGAATTTTCTCTTCGCACAGGCGTTGCTTTAAGAGCTCGCAGTGACGAGCGTCGCTTCGCGACGCTCGCTGCGCTCGCTATTATATCCCATTTGGGCGAGTGGTCTCAAACTGTTAAATCTAGTTCACTTACAAAACCAAAATCTACGGGGTACATGTACATTTAATTAAGAATAAGACGATATAAATTTGCAACCCCCCAGTCTTTTTTATTTTTCTTTTCAGCTTTAAAACATTTTCGGTCTCTAAATATGATAGATAAAAAACAAACCTACCTGTATGTGATAAAAATTATGGTTTTTGCGTTGTACTTCGCTGGTGACTGTTGACGAAAATATTACTTCCGGTTGGATATCGGTAATATCGAGTCCGAGCAGTTACTGAAATCAACAGGCTAATTAAAAAAAATGATTGAAATGTTTAAGCGTATCTTATTTTCTGACTTCAGTGAAATATACAGATAGTCTTTGCCAAGGAATACAACAAAATATAATTTCTTTAATTATACTAGGCCTTTGAACTCGGGATAGGTCGTCGATGAAACTGGAGAAGTCACGTGATATATATTTCCGGTGTCAAGACTTGGAAAAGGAAGGTAAACCTTTAGACAATACGCCATCAATTACAAACTGCATTATAATTATTGTCATTAAACGTTTACTTTTAACTATTTTCTTGCATTTCTCGAATGTAGGTGTGCTTCACTATGGACATAACTCGAATTTCCTCTGTCGCATAATTCCACTTTCAATATGTCAACTTAATGAAAATTTCCATAGGAAATTTTGTATTTTGTGATATTTTCCAAAAGCTGAATTTGCTAAAATTTTCCTGATAAAAATGTACGAATGGAAAATGCACAACTTCTGTACAGAGGTATTTTGTGTTCAAAAAAATAACTGCTCATGTACATCAGATCTAGGCTTTTATTCATTAATACTTATCTCCTTGTTTCACCCAAGCATCAATGAGTATATCTGTATAGGTTTTCTGAATCATTCAACTGCTGGAATTTGATCAACAAATGCGAGATTGTTACTTTTATAATTTACTCCACCGGTGTGACTTGCACTTAGCATTCAATATGACATAAAAAGGGAAATGTTACTCTCCCTCTCAAGATCTTATTAGTTCCAATAATTTATACATTGGTATTGATCTTTTCAACCTGGTCTAAATAGTTCAGAGAGATATTGAAACCAGACTGTCAGTCACCTTACATGAAATTAAAAGCGGGTGTTGCTAAAACGCGGAACGGAAAACGGAACGGAAAACGGAATGTATTATTTTGGATTAGATCACTTAAAATACACAGATTTTATCTTAAATGATCTATTTTGTACATATTCAATCCACCACTATTAAAAACAAGTTGATTGATTTTGTCATGCTCAGTCTCTTATTTACGAAAATCGCTAACATAGCAGTCACCTAGAATCGAATTTGAAAAGGGGGGATAAACGAATTGAAAAGAATTTGACAAGCAAAAACACAAAAAGAAGACAAATGTTTGGTTCGGGAGGGGGGGGGGGATAAAACACAAAAAGAAAACAATTGTTTGAGTCGGGTAGGGGATAAGTTCCAACTCCCAACATCTTTCAGTACAATTTTTTTACACTAACTTTAATACTACCAGGGACCTATATACTAACTTTGTATACATATAGGTCCCTGATACTACATTAGTTACATTCACAAAAAGTGTGAAGAGTGTGAAGATGTCAACTTGACCAAACATTTCCGTAGTAAATAGGTTTTGACTGGGGGGGGGATATTTGATATCTAGATGAACCATGGAAAGAGAAATAAATTGTAAAAATAAAATTATTAAGATTACGTTTAGGGCAAACCTTTACGGCAAGCTCGAATAAACATCTCTTATACACACTGGTTATTAAAATTTTATTCAACAGAGAGTGGTTTTCTATATATTTAAATTCTGGATAGACAAAGTTGGAAAACTTTCATGTGGTAGATATAATACAGAATCTTTGCATTCAATGAAGTTAAATTTTGTGTGTGTTTTTGGGAGGGGGGTGTATATGAATGACCCCGTAAAAATGAGTTTGTTCTCCCGCTCAACGGTAAGGTCTGAGAAGTTGTAATAGGATGCTCCCTATTTGAGTCCAACATATATAAAAGGTTTAATAGATCAATTTTTAATGTTGCTGTGACTACACAGACCCGAAACTGCCACTCCCACTTTCATGATTTACGAATTCGACACTGCGTGTATAATCTGAATATCATAAGTACTTTCTACAGACATTGACACTGGAAACAAATTGAAAGGGGGGGGTGGAGTTCAGTAAAAAAATTCCAACATACAACAAATTTGACTAGCCAAAATAAGGGGCATATGTCCTTTGCCCAAACACGAAAATCCTATTTCGTGTGTGTGTGGTGGGGGGGTGGGTCGAATTTCTTTCAGTACCATTTTTTCCACGGAGGGTGTGTATGACTCAGGCCAAAATAAAAAATACTCTTGTGTCCTGTCACCCGACCTACCCTACATTTTACCCTCCGACCCTAATAGTTTTTATTACATTTTCATTTTTTGGATGACTATTTTCCTAAAATACAAAACAAATGCTTAAGTCGACCAACAATATATACAGAACTAATACATCATAAGTGTACAGGATACCTTTACTTTATAAATCTTCATTAACAAACTTGCTTTGTAAACTGTTAACATATTTTCTTGTTATTACATGATATATGTTCTGCATTCATTGAGTTTTCAAAATAAAATTTTTTCTCAAAATAGAAATTTTTCTCTACCTACCTACCCTAATTTTTTGGGTCAGGGGACAGGAAACAAGAGTATATTTTCTTTTGGCCTCATGAATATATAATAGTTTATAATTAATTTTTATCAGAAATGATTTTTACAACAAGAATATTGCTCTTTTATTTGATTTATATCTAATCTATTTTATTTGTTTGACAAAAATTTTCCATTTTCCGTTCCGTTCCGCTTTCTGTTCCGCGTTTTAGCAACACCCATTAAAAGCTGCATTTCTTTCTTGTGTTCTTTCAGAAACATGTACAGTCATTTTACCAGTAACGATTCGGTTTCTAGTTACGTATTAAATACAACCCATATCTTTGAATTTCCAAATTTTCTTTGTTGTTGTTTAATTTGTATTTCTAAGCTCTACAAAAAAGTAGTACAAAAATTTCCAAAATATAAACAGCACAGGGACATAGCTGTCAAAAATAACACCCCCCTTTTTTCCTAGTTTCGAATCGATTTTTCAGTATCGAATCAGGTGCCCTCTATTGTTGCTGACTTAATAAATGAAACCGGTTGGTCGAAATTATTGTAGAAATATACCTTCAAGAAAATTCTACATAAAGTATATAAGCATTACTTGTTGATTCAAATGATTATTTTTCTAAAACTAAACAATATGAAAAATGTTGCATTTTATGAGAAACTTTTAGTGACATGGGTTAATATACTTAAATCAATCATCTCTGAGTCATAATTTTCATGGAATATTTTTGCTTATAAATAGTTTTTATAGTATTTTCACTCCTGTCAGCTTTCTTTGTTTTTGCATCCCGTAAAACGGCATTTTTCGTTCTTCCAAAATTCGTGATTCGTAACTAAGAAAACAACACGTGGTAAGTTTAGATGTTAAATTTCATTCAAAAGTCAATTTTCGTTGAATTTAATATTCTATCTTTTTGTATTTATCATAAATATTGATTACATACACAATCTGGATCGACAACATATCAAATTTTTTATTTAGATGCATTTCTCGACACACTTTCGTTTTCTTAGACTTGCACTTGCGCGTGTTAAAATCTAGGTCATCGGTTCAAATTGTAAATATTGTGGGAAATAATCAGGCAGATATTACAAAAACACAACACAGTGGTAGAATATTCATCCTTTTATTGTATTAACCTAGTAAGTTTTTAAAAACCCTTCACTATGTTTTTCTAGATTATTTAAATAAAAAAAATATTCTATACTGGCAAATATTCGTTACTGGTAAAATGACTGTAGGTGCCATAAAATCTCTAAGAAACATCCTGGGTCTTGTGACCTATATTATTTCCTATGATGAAAATTTCCCATTTCCTCTGAATTTGGGTTGTATGTTCGTTCGCCTTAAAAATTGTTCGCCATAGTTCCTATTCGCCCAGAGCCCGCTCGCCCTAAAACTTGTTCGCACAGGGTCCGCTCGCCCTATTTAAGATATAGAATAAAAATCTCATAAATTTTGTTCCTAATTTTTTGTACATTGGAGACAAAACTGTTGTTCTGTTCCATAATGGACATATTAACTTCTCAGTCCTTTAATTGTTTTCAAAACATAACACAATTCGTAAAAATAACACGGATGTATCCCTCTAATTAACACTGATATTAATCATATTAATCATCTAATCAAGTAATAATGCAAATACTTTAGGCCTTCAAAAAACATTGAAATCAAATTGAAAATTAATTAAGACAAAATAAACATTATTCTTTGTATCAGAATTTGAAAAAAAAAATCCTAAGGTCGTAGATTATAAGAAATTAAATAGAATATGCTAATCCATATAATTATATACAAGTATATATATGTATTGGGCAAGTCAGATATAGGACGAACAAGATATTGGGTGAACAATATTTCGGGCAAACGGACTCTGCGTGAATGGACTCCTGTGAACAGGTAGATCGGGGGAACGAACCTGATACCCTGAATTTGCCTGAGTCTATTTATGTATGGGTTCCTATTGATTGCTTATACTGTAGGCTTGATCTGACCAAGATAAACATGTTATATATAGATAATTCATCTTCTCTAATCTTGGCCAGATCAACCCTAAAATGTAAAGGAATATATGGGCAATATTAAAGATTATGTCAGATGAATTAAGCCCAAGTTAGAATTTGCCATCCATCATATGTCTAACATTATAAATGTCTGATTTAAGATCATAGCAAGATGATAAATCTGATGTACTGTTTACCCTATGCTTCTTTTATTTTTTTCCCCAATGCTGGGGATGCATCAGGGTTATTTTTAAATATTTTTTTTCTACATTTGAGTATCAAACCACTATAACACCATTATTTTTAAGGAACCCTGAAGATTATACATGTGCATATGTGAACCAAAGAGAAAGCTGAAGAGAAACTATTCAGCAATGGAGAATTCAGAGTCTGCTACTATAGCCCACACTGAAGGTTTGTTTATGTAAAATGCTCATACTTGTAAAAACAAATAGACATAAAATTTCCTTCTGCTGTTTGAAAAGCAGTATGTCTGTTTTACATGGTTAAAGAAATACAATTGTACCTCAGTATCTTTCAAACATTGATATCTTAAATGTATTGAATTATTCAAAATAAGTTGGAAGTCCCAATTATTATGAGTTTTAACCTTGATATGTTGAATCCTTGGATATCTAGATGTTTTATCTTAACTCCATTATGTCCAACAAGATTTGACTTTATCTTGAATTTTTTTTTGATATTATCACATTTTATTTTTGACCATATTATTAGATAGCATGGTAATTCAAGATTGACTAGTTTCATTTGATTTTGTTAGAGATGGAGGATTCGGGGGAGACTGCAGCAGCAGCAGCTGGATCTTCTATGGAGGTGGCCCCCAGCTCAATCAGCGTCCCCTCCTACTACTCTAAAGATGTCACCGGTCAGTAAATGTACATCTTTACATGTAAAAATATCAGATATCTAATCATTGTCCCCTCCTACTACTCTAAAGATGCCACCGGTCAGTTATTGTACATACCAAAAACAATGTCAAAAGATAACAAAGATGATTTTACATGTATTTGTTAAGATAAAGGCCTAATAAATAACAGTTTAAATCTGTCTTGATGTAAAGGTATCATTTGATCTTTTTTATAAATCATTCTTAATATATTTAATCACTTGGCATGTTCTCATTTTTTCTATAGATCCGTATGCTACCCCAGGACAATGTGGACTGTACAATCTAGGGAATACCTGTTTCATGAATGCAGGTATACGATAGTTATGTTTCTTATCACTGCCAGACAGTGCTGAGCCTTGTACAACTCTCTAATTCTTTGTTTCTGGCATAGTGGTAAAAACTCCCTAAAATTACAACTCGTGAATAATTTGGAGTACCAAAAAAATTAACTCACAATTTCAAAAGACAACTTGCAATTCTAAAATGAAAGGTTTTTAAGATAAACCTCCTCCAATCAATCTTTTAAAAAAGCTTCTTAATTTTTTATATGATCAACATTAAACATTTCACATGCTCTTTCATTTTAAAATGGGGGATATAAGCAGTAACTAAGGGGAGAAAGACTAAAACGGGTCTGAAACAGATATTTTTTCCTGGATGAAATTTATGATTAAAAAGTCAACTTGAAAATTTTTGTGAGTTACAAAATTTTTAACTCACAATATGGATATTCTAACTCGCATTTTGTGAATTGTATATAGTGAATTTCGAACCCTGTGGCACTCTAGCTACATAAATTGCTACTAATAAAATTACATAAGCATGATTAATTCTTGCAAATGGAATTAACCAGTACTTTTGAGGTATTGTTAATTTCTTTAATTAGGCCTACAGAGTCTGTTGTCCACCACACCTCTCCTGAAGTTCTTCCTGGAGCAGTTTACACTGGAGGATTGTTCCCAGGACACACTGATCACTAACTTTCACCAGCTGGTCTGCAAAATCTGGAGTGGACGTTATACTATTGTATACCCTAGGGACTTTAAGAATGCCCTGGCCCTTTTTCATGTCCAGTTTCAGGATTATAGACAGGTATGTTGTGTGGAGCAACTGACATTTTGGTACATGTACTAGAAATATTCTTCTTGCATACTGATAGAATTAAGAAGAGCTAAAAAAAAATTAAGCTGATACTTGTATCAAGCAAATCAAAAAGAATATGTGCATATTATTTAGATTTTGCAATAACGGAACATCAAATTACCGGTACTAGTACATGTATTTCCATTCACTGATTTAGAAAGAAAGCTTTGATGATATCAAGCTTACTGCTTTATCTAAAATTAGTGCTGTTACATGTTCATGTTGTTTACTGAACGTTGTTTCAGCATGACTGTCAAGAGTTTTTGGCCCTCTTTTTGGACACACTGCACCAGCAGCTAAAGAGTAAAGAAGATGCAGCTCAAAACAATCTCCAGAGTGTGTCTGCCTCAGCAGAAAAAGACCAGCTCAACAACTCTGTCAGTGCCAAGAGTGTGAGTGATGATGAAAGTATGGTTACCCAAGATGCATCATCGGGATCATTTCCTGTTCCTTTGTATGAGGACAGTGCCAATGTTAGCTATGTCATCCAGTCAGAACTTCCATCACTTTTAAGGTCTGTTGTTAGAACGGATTCAAGTGGTGACTTGGAAAAATCTCAGTCAGATACATGTATGAATGAACTAGAGCCAATTTTAAACAATGCTTCAAATCTGAAACAGCGAATTCCAAAAATTGAAGAGTTTTATGCCAAAGATACCAAAACTCTAAACACTAATGTTTTATCTGAGGATTTTGAAAAAGAAGACTTGGCAACAGATTCAGAAAAATTTCCCAAACAAGAGCTAAATAATCATGCAGATAATGAGCTAGTCATGCCTGCCCCTGTTGAGGCAGTGGCCATATCCCCTAATAAGGAGGAAGCTGCAAGAAAGGGACCCAAAAATACAAACATTCAAGCCGAGAAAATCAACAAGATGCAGAAAACCTGTGAAATGGATGCTGAAGGGGACGGTATCATAAAGAAAATGAAATTTGAATGTACTGAGAAAAATTTTCAGTATAAAGCTTTGAGTAAGATTAACAAAGACTTTGAAATTAATGAACAGAACTTGAAACTGGCAAGTTTTGGAATGGAGGGGGTAAATCTTATAAAAGACCTAGGAATTCTGGGTAGTTTGGACAAAGACATGTGTGACAATGTTATGAGGAGGACTCAGCTTCTTGTTGAGGACAAGTGTCCTCCGTATGCTGCACCAGATGGGGACCATCTCAGAACAGCAGAGGATAAGAAGCAGAAAAACAGCGAGGACCGTGTGCAAAGCATGGACCTACAGGTCTCCAAAAACGTGAAGACAAAGAAATCTCAGCTGTCTGAAAACAGCTATAAAAAGATTAAATGTGAAGTTAAACATGAGGGTAGCCCTGCTGATTCCATTTTATCAACTGATAACGAAGAAGATAAAGAAGAGGGAGGAAATCAGAACAGCGAGGCTACAGAGGTGGATCTACTGGAGCGTGATGAGGAAGTTCAAGTGGATCCTGAGGAAGAAGCAGCAGAAAAGGCCTGGGAGAATTATATCAGGGACAATCATAGCATCATTGTCAGCACATTCCAGGGGCAGTTCAAGTCTACAGTAAGTACAATCATAGCATCATTGTCAGCACATTCCAGGGGCAGTTCAAGTCTACAGTAAGTACAATCATAGCATCATTGTCAGCACATTCCAGGGGCAGTTCAAGTCCATGCTTAGTACAATCATAGCATCATTGTCAGCAGATTCCAGGGGCAGTTCAAGTCTACAGTAAGTACAACCATAGCATTATTTTGAGCATTATTGCAAAACTGTTTGAAGCTAGGGCAATTCAAGTCAACAGTAATTTTGTTAAATGCAAGAGAGGATAACATTTTGCACTTACATCAACATCCCTGTTGAGTTCATGTCATATTAAGCTTTTATTTGACAAAATGAATTTTCATTTATTCCAGGTGGTTTGCTCTGAGTGTAACCATGTTTCAGTGACCTTTGAACCCTTCATGTATCTTTCTGTACCCTTGCCACATGCATCTGACAGGCAGTTATGTACGTAGTAAATTTCCACCAAATGCTTATAAGCAAATTGTCAGTTTTTGTTATAGATCATAAGACTAGACCACAAAATTTGTCAGCACATGTAATAGCTATCAACAAGGATCGCTGTGCAAAACACCACAAGAAACTGTTAATTTGCCTTAAACACTACCTACCATGAAATTCAATGCTGGCTCGTAGTATCTTTTGATTTATTGTGTTATTTTGACAGGTGTTATTTTTGTCCCCCTAGAAGGATCTCCAATGCGATACCTGATAACTCTACAAAAGTCTGACAAAATAAACAAAGTGAAGGAAGAATTGAAGACATTGATTGGTCGTTCTGCTTGACATTATTTGACAAAATGTAATTATTCAATAATTTATTCCAAAGGCTGGCTAATGCTATGGCCATTTGTGCGGTGTGCGTCGTGCGGTGTGCGGTGTGCGGTAACTTTTTGAATATGGGCCATTCAAGAACCCCTTGCCAATCATTGTCAAATTTGTTACAATCCTTGGCCCAAGGGCTACCTTATACTAAAACTAGGGTTACCTAAAACTTGCCAAAAGTACAGTTGCTAAAAAATCTTCTTCTGAACCACCAGGCAGATTTTCACCAAACTTACATACAAGGTTCAGGATATGTTGAAGATTAAAAATTGTTCAAGGCATTTTGTTATCAAGGTCACTTCAAAGTTAACCAAAATTTACATTTAATAAAAATGTTGATATTTTGCTTACTAAAATTAGGATCATCAAATCTTGTAAGTTGATGCATCTTAGGATATCATGTTAACACAAAAGTAGGTCACCGTGACCTACTTTTTAAATTTTATTGGCTTTTGTTTTCAAATTGATTTGGAGGCATATTTTGGACACTTTAAGGCCTATGAAACTGTTAATTTGTCCTTAAACAAGGTCAACTTAAAAGTAGGTCACCGTGACCTACTTTTTGAATTTTATGGCTCATCTTTTCTAAAACATTTAATCCCATTATTTCAGATACTGAGAGGTTTAGATTCACCAAATCTTGTAGGTTGATGCATCTTGGGGCCTTTAACATATTTATGAAAAAGTAGGTCACTGTGACCTGAATTTTGCAGGCATTTGATTTCAAATCGCTTAAAAGGCATAATTTGAATACTTTCAGACCTATGATCATCAAACTTTGTCAGTTGATGCATCTTGGGTCTTCGGAAAAATTGTGTTATTTTGACATTTTTTGGCTATATTTTATTATCTCTGATACTTATTGACCTATAATCATCAAACTTTGTCAGTTGATACAAGGATCTCCAATGCGACCAAAAAGTAGGTCACTGTGACCTAACTTTACTAAAAGTCTAGAATTACAAAATAAACAAAGTGAAGGAAGAATTTTATGGAAGACATTGATTGGTCGTAGGTCACAATGACCTACTTTTGATTATCTCAGGTGACATCATCATTGTCAGTTGATGCATCTTGGGCCATCTGAAAATGTTGACCAAAAAGCAGGTCATGGTGACCTACTTTTGACATTTTATGGTTATATTTAAGTATCTTAAGTACTTTTTGGCTTAGAATTATCAAAACTTTGTCAAGAATTCTGGTAGTTATTCAATAACTAATGTAGTTATACCTGGTACTCCTCATACATGTATTACAGGAGGACAGTGTTATGATAGAGTATGTTGTTTTACAGGAGGACGGTGTTATGATACGGTATGTTGTTTTACAGGAGGACAGTGTTATGATACAGTGTGTTGTTTTACAGGACTGGAAAGAATCATTAAACTTTGTCAGTTATGATACAGTATGTTGTTTTACAGGAGGACAGTATTATGATACAGTATGTTGTTTTACAGGAGGACAGTGTAATGATACAGTATGTTGTGGGAGGACAGTGTTATGATACAGTATGTTGTTTTACAGGAAGACAGTGTTATTAAACAGTATGTTGTTTTTCAGGATGACAGTGTTATGATACAGTATGTTGTTTTACAGGAGGACAGTGTTATGATACAGTATGTTGTTTTACAGGAGGACAGTGTTATGATACAGTGTGTTGTTTTACAGGAGGACAGTGTTATGATACAGTATGTTGTTTTACAGGAGGACAGTGTTATGATACAGTATGTTGTTTTACAGGAGGACAGTGTTATGATACATTATGTTGTTTGTTACAGGAGGACAGTGTTATGATACATTATGTTGTTTTACAGGAGTACAGAGTTATGATACAGTATGTTGTTTTACAGGAGGACAGTGTTAATAAACAATATGTTGTTTTTTAGGATGACAGTGTTATGATACAGTATGTTGTTATACAGAGGAGTTATAATACAATATGTTGTTTTACAGGAGGACAATGTTATGATACAGTGTTTTGTTTTACAGGAGGACAGCGTTATGATACAGTATGTTGTTTTATAAGGCGGCCAGCATTATGATACAGTATGTTGTTTTACAGGAGGACAGAGTTATGATTCCGATGTTGTTTTACAGGAGGACAGTGTTATGATACAGTATGTTGTTTTACATGAGAACAGTGTTAAGATACAGTGTTGTTTTACAAGATGATAGAGTTATGATACAGTGTTGTTTTATAGGAGGACAGAGTTATGATACAGTAGGTTGTTTTACAGGAGGACAGTGTTATAATACAGTATGTTGTTTTACAGGAGGACAGTGTTATGATACAGTATGTTGTTTGTTGTTTTACAGGAGGACAGTGTTATGATACAGTATGTTGTTTTACAGAGGACAGTGTAATGGTACAGTGTGTTGTTTTACAGGAAACATGGTTATGATACTGTATGATGTTTGTTACAGGAGGACAGTGTTATGATACAGGAAGAGAGAGTGTATTACAGTGTGTTTACAGGAGGACAGTATTATGATACAGTGTGTTGTTTTACAGGAGGACAATGTTATGATACAGTGTTTTGTTTCACAGGAGGACAGTGTTATGATACAGTATGTTGTTTTACAGGAGGACAGAGTTATGATACAGTATGTTGTTTTACAGGAGGACAGTGCTAATAAACAGTATGTTGTTTTTTAGGATGACAGTGTTATGATACAGTATGTTGTTATACAGGAGGACAGTTATAATACAATATGTTGTTTTACAGGAGGACAATGTTATGATACAGTGTTTTGTTTCACAGGAGGACAGTGTTATGATACAGTATGTTGTTTTACAGGAGGACAGAGTTATGATTCCGATGTTGTTTTACAGGAGGACAGCGTTATGATACAGTATGTTGTTTTTTAAGGCGACCAGCATTATGATACAATATGTTGATTTACAGGAGGACAGTGTTATGATTCCGATGTTGTTTTACAGGAGGACAGTGTTATGATACAGTGTGTTGTTTTACAGGAGGACAGAGTTATGATACAGTTATGATTCCGATGTTGTTTTACAGAATATGTTGTACAGTTGTTGATTTACAGGAGGACAGTGTTATGATACAGTATGTTGTTTGTTACAGGAGGACAGTGTTATGATAAAGTATGTTGTTTGACAGGATGACAGTGTTATGATACAGTATGTTGTTTTACAGGAGGACAGTGTTATGATACAGTATGTTGTTTTACAGGAGGACAGTGTTAATAAACAGTATGTTGTTTGTTACAGGAGGAGAGTGTTATGATACAGTATGTTGTTTTACAGGAGGACAGTGTTATGATACAGTATGTTGTTTTACAGGAGGACAGTGTTATGATACAGTATGTTGTTTTACAGGAGGACAGTGTTAATAAACAGTATGTTGTTTGTTACAGGAGGACAGAGTTATGATACAGTGTGTTGTTTTAAAGGAGGACAGTATTATGATACAGTGTGTTGTTTTACAGGAGGACAGTGTTATGATACAGTATGTTGTTTGTTACAGGAGGACAGTGTTATGATACAGTATGTTGTTTTACAGGAGGACAGTGTTATGATACAGTGTGTTGTTTTAAAGGAGGACAGTATTATGATACAGTATGTTGTTTTACAGGAGGACAGTGTTATGATACAGTATGTTGTTTTACAGGAGGACAGTGTTAATAAACAGTATGTTGTTTGTTACAGGAGGACAGTGTTATGATACAGTATGTTGTTTTACAGGAGGACAGTGTTATGATACAGTATGTTGTTTTACAGGAGGACAGGGTTATGATACAGTGTGTTGTTTTTCAGGAGAACAGAGTTATGATACAGTATGTTGTTTGTTACAGGAGGACAATGTTATGATACAGTGTGTTGTTTTACAGGAGGACAGTGTTATGATACTGTATGTTGTTTGTTGTTTTACAGGAGGACAGTGTAATGATACAGTATATAAATGACTCCTCGAGGGTTGTTTATGCCTATGAGATGCCTCCCTGCCCAGTCATCACAACTGAAGTACAGGAACTTCCTCAATGTCCGGATTTCTCCTCTTTACAGAACGAGTCTAAGGAATACAGTGTTTCCCAGACTGCTACAGGTAATTTGGTGTCACTGATTATATCTTATTTTAGAATTCATGTACTATATTTAATAACTGGGGAAATGGGTAGGATCTCGCATTCCATTGAAAGTTTTATTGCTAGGTTGCATGTATTCAGGAATCCACATTTATTCAAATACTTTGTATGCAACATTATGTAAATGTAATGTAAATGTATGCAATTACTGTGATTTCAGAACTTTTATACAATATTTATTTTGATTACATCTAACATATTTTTTTATCACAGAGGGTGACATCTTTAGCAGCATGGGCACATTCTCAAAGCGAGATGTCAGTGATATAAACAAATACATGCAGTCATCAGATACAACTGGAAAATTCAAGGATGCTCCAGAAACTGAATCTCACCCCAGGGGGTCAGAGTCCTGGGGTGCCACAGGAGGTGATCTTGAGAGTGCCACAGCCTTAGGGGAGTGGACAGATTCCAAGATGTCAGACAACTGGGGCAGTGGCCAAGGAGCGAGTAAATGGACACAGTCTGATTCTGATGACCTTCGAAAGAGTCTAAATGAGGTCATGGTCGACGTGCCAGGAGCTGGTATGTGGAACCAGAATTTTTCGGCAGGTCATAGTTCACCGGTTCACAATACCAGCTGGTTGGATGGAAGTTGTGAGGTGGATGGGAGGGTTGACACAGCATCTGGTTGGGATCTCACCAACACACTGCCAGTTGGTAAGACATTGTTCACTCAGAAAGTGGTAATTGATTGGCAGAAGGCTTTGAGCACATCTGAAATTCACTTTATATGTAAATACTTTACAGCCAAGTCATACCTCCATGAGTGAAGTCAATATCATGACCTTAATTTAAGACTTGGTACATTTGATTCACCTTTTAAATATTTTATCATTTATTGTGAAAGGAATTGGTTAAAATTTGTTTATTCTCTTCCTGAAGATGACACCTTAATGAAAAGTGACCCATTACCTGAGAGTGTTACCTGGGATTCCGGTGCTCACCTGTCTGGTTCAGGCTGGGACTCCAGTGCAATACCAGCAGCTCAAGCCACAGTGGTGGCAGACAAATGGAAGTCCTGTGCCATCTGTCTGGAGGAACTGGAAGACAGTGAACTACTGTCTCACACGGGGTGTGGGGGAACATTCTGTCAAATCTGTCTAGAGGTGGGTTTATTTACAAATTTGACTTTGTATAAATTCAGATTAAAAACCACATTAAAGGTCTGTTTTTTAGGTCACCTGAGTCACTCAGATGACCTATTGCTATCCGTTTTAGTCCGTCGTCATCCGTCATGTGGTGTGCATCGATTGAACATTTTCAGCTTTTTCACTGCAACGGCTCAACCAGTTCCAACCAATTTTGGCAATAAGCATCTATGGGGGAAGAGGAACACAAATTGTGAATTTTATGGTCCCTGCCCCCCTGAGGCTTGAGGGGTGGGTTCAAAACCACCAAAATTAATGCAATCTTTAAAAATCTTCTTCTTTACTTCTGGACATCAAGCAGTCAAACTGTTGGCATGAATGTAATCAGCATTGAGTCCTCTACCAAAATTGTGAAATTCTTGGTCCCAGGGTCAGGGGTTCTAGTGCTAGGGTGGGGCTATATTGAGTATGTAGTGAAAATGAAGATTTTCTTCGAAAATCTTGTTATCTGCTCCTAGGTATCAAACAAACTTAATGTATAGTTACGTTGAGGAAGGATGCTTCTTCTAAAATTTTGTTTTTCATGACCCCAGTATCAGGGGTTCTGACGGCTCTATTGATTACATAGTGAACATGCATTAATTCTTTGAAAATCTTCTCTGCTCCTGGATATAAAACAATCTAACTACATACATAGTCATGATTAGAAAAGGTGCCTCTTCTATAATTGTGAATTTTATGGCCCCAGGGTCAGGGGTTCTAGTGCTGGGGGGCTTTATTGAAAATGCATTAATTCTTTGAAAATCTTCTTCTCTGCTCCAGGGCATCAAATAAACAAACTAAATGTATAGTTTTGATGAGGAAGAGTCCCTCTTCTAAAATTGTTAATGTGTGATGGTGTTGTCAGTAAATGAATTGAAACATAAAATTGAAATATTTCATGGCCCTAGGGTCAGGAGTTCTGGGGTTATGACGTGGCTCTATTGATTATTTAGTGAAAATGCATTAAATCTTTGAAAATCCTTCTCTCTGCTCCTGGGTATTAAACAAACTAAATACATACATAATTATGATGAACAAGGGCCATTCTTCCAGAATTATGAATTTCAAGGCCCCTGGATCAGGGATACCATAGAGGGTGGGGGTCTCTAATTATATACTGAAAATGAATTAATGCTTTGAAATCTGCTCCTTCATATTAATCAAACATTTATGATAAACAAGGATGCCTTTTCCTAAATTGTGAAATGTGTGGACCTATGGTCAGGGGTTCCTGTGGGGTGGGGCACTGCTGATTATTGCTGATTATTACTGATTAGTTGAAATTCTTTTTTGTTCCCCTTCTCTGCATATGGGTAACCAAATTAAACATGCTAAGTGTATAGTTATGATGAGCTATGGTGCCTCTTTCAAAATTGTGAGTGTCACTGCCTCTGGTTTAAAACATGAACCAAATTCAATTGTTGGAAAGTTGTTGCATAATGCTAAGGTGACCTATAAGGCCTATGGGCCTCTTGTTAGCATGTTTAGGCCAAATGAATTTTTCCAAGAGCCAAAGGTTTTCAAATCATTCAGATGGATAAGTATTCAAGCTTTTTGTGTTTCAATGCTGTCAGTACCATGTTATCTGTAACTGACTGTGGGATTCTTTTTTGACAGATGTCTATCAAACACTACGGGGAGGAGAGTTATGTGTGTCCGGTAAGTCTCTTTACTTTAGCTTACACTCAGACAGTGACATTTGATTTAAAAGGTTGAAATGATTTTTTGGCGGCCCTTAGTTTCACTATCTTAAGAAATCTGTCAAGAGTCTTATGAAAATAAAAAATGGAAAACTATTAATACATGTACATGTATTTTTAGGTGTCTATTGGAACCACAAATTTTATACCAAAAGTTTCACATATTTTGAATTTGTCAGTTTTATTTCAATGTTATTCATTTAACATGTACTAGGTGTGCTCCACTGCTGCCGTGCTGACTAAAGACTTCTGTCCTCTGGATGGTGGGTCATCCTCAACACAGAATTTAAGGTCAGTTAGAGTATGTGTACTGTCAGTGGAATGTGTGTGAGTGTGAAGTGCTGTGTATAGGGTTATTTTCGCCCCGCTTTATTTTCGCCCTTTCACACTTGCAGACAATTTTGCCCCATCTTGAATTCACACATTCACATTTTTGTTTAAAAGATTATATTGTATTTTTTCAATACGCCCACTTTAAATTTGCCCAATCAAGGAAATGGCGAAAGGGGCAATAAAATGGGGTTGAAAATTTCCCTGCATACAGTATGTGTAATGTTAGAGGGATGTGTATTCGTGAAGTATGTGTACTGTCAGTAGAAATGTAAAGAATGTTTACTGTCAGTGGAATGTGTATAAGAGTGAAGTATGTGTTTTGTCATTTGATTGTGTTGAAGTGTGTGAATAGGACTTCCCAATCACTTCAACATATTCATGGCATTTGAAATATTTGTGTTTGAGATACTGAAGTTCAACTGTATGTGTCCTATCATTGGATTGAGTGTTGAAGTTGATTCTAATTTACTGATAAATGCCATAATTTTTAGGTTGTTGGCTGTTCCTGTCTCCCTGAGAGATGAAGTTGGCTCTTGTGCTAAACTAGTAGGACACCCCCGACTCGTTTACTTATACAACACAATGAGTGGGGCTCAGTTGTACGAGTGTATACTCAACTTGTTTCCGGTGTTGGCTCAGTGCACTATTGTATTAACAGATGGTCAGGTAGGATTTAACATAGGTTACTTAAAATGGAAGAAAAAAAAGACATTTTGTTATTCTCGTAAATTGTGCAAAACTGAAACTAGCAACAAGATAAATGTTTGAATATGTAATAGACTTGCAACTTTTTTTGAATTTTGGACAATATAGGGATTTTGTTCTTATCATCAAGTTATAAGTTTGCCATTAAAGTGTTGCATTGTGTCTACAAAGGGAATCTTATTACAACATTTTCTGTAGAAGTGTTTCACTGTGAGAAGTACATGTACATGTATGGACTCCTCAGACTTTTCTGACTTTATAGGGACTGCGGTGTTCACGCTGTCAGTATTCTGACCAATGTCAGGGGTGTCCCATCTCTCGAGATTCTCAGATACACCTACGTCCAGGTGATTGTTTGTCTGTCTGTCTGAGCGGACTATCACAGACCTGTATAAATGACCTGGAGGGATCTGTGGACCACCAAACAATGGAAAACTTACGACCAGAAAAATCTCTTTCCATCTACGATTGTCTACAAGCTTTCACTGACAGGTAAATGTCTTTTTCTGAGACCCGAAGCGCTTATGCATTAGTAAGATATCTATCATCCATCTTTCTGTCTGTAAACCATCTGCCTGTTATTAACTGTTGCTGTTGTAATGACTGATTTGATCTACTGTACATTTGTCTATTAGTAAGAGTTCCTGACAATAGTTGAAAATAAATCATCTGCTTTTTTTTCAGTGAAGATCTTGATGAACACAATCCTTGGTATTGTCCTCGATGCCAGAGGAACCAGTGTGCCAAGAAAACTATAACTGTGTGGCAGTACCCAGACACACTCATCTTACACCTTAAAAGGTCACTTCTCTTACTGTTACTTATATGTCAAAGGTGTAACTCTGTAAAGAAAACACCAGAGATAGTGGGGGACAATATAAAAGACTACCTCATTATTTCTTAATCTATGTTAATTTTCATTGTTAATTTTTAACTGTCTTAAAAAGTATAGCCATGATTGTTGAAAGAACTTAATCAAAGTCTCTGCTGTCACTAGAATTGGGGGGGGGGTAATTATGAAAAGAAAAAATGAATGTCAGCCTAATTACATTCACAGGCTTGTTATTGAATCTTGACATTTTTTAACAGGTTTGTGTATCATGACTTATCAAGTAACAAAGTAGATGCAGAGGTAATATTTCCCCTGGAGGACCTCAATCTATCCCAGTATACATCAGGGCCTGACTCAGGAAGTTTGACCTATGACCTTTACAGCATTGTCTGCCATTTTGGGGGTAAGCTGATTTTCACAATGTCATGAAATAGACAATTTTCACCTGTCTAAATCGTGTGGATTTTAACCAATGTTACATGCACTCTAGTAATATGATTAGTCAAATCAGTAACATCACCTTGAAATAATTTGAGATACTGTTTGTGAAAGTTGAAGTTGCAGATTTCAGGCTTATGAGAGCATGTATTACAGTCAGAAACACCACTTTGCTCTAATTTACATAACTTCAGTGTGAACTGTGTTCACAGTACCAAAGGCTCATCTTAGTTCCAAAAAAATTCATTTGACTTAAAGTTAGCATGTATACATCTAAACAACAGGAACTATGCGTTTAATTGTTGTATAATTAATTTTTTTAAAATGTGACAAGAGGTTCTGCATGTGACACTATTCATTGTTTTTAACAGGTGCCAATGCGGGTCACTATACGACTTTTGCTAAGCATCCATTGAATGGACAGTGGTTTTATTACAACGATGAATCTGTGTCCCACCAGGTCCCCAAAAAGGAGGATTATAAAAATGCCTACATACTGTTTTACAACAGGCAAGGTAGGTTGTTCAGGCTGCCTAAGATTGATATGTGGGTTGTAACAAAAATGGATTTACGATATCCTGAAGACCCAATGATAATATGGGAGGCAATGCTGTAAATCATAAGCGAATTCTCATTTTAAAGTCAATGCATAAAGACTTAAAGACTTAATTTTAGTAAAATTTCGTCAGCAATATTATCACAACATTCACTAAGATATAGTGTTACCTGACATACTGATTTACAGGTACAGATGTTAAGTTTGATTTGCCTAAAATTCCAATGGACCAATCAAGTTTACTGAGAGAAACTCCAAACAACAGATCTCGAGCGGCAGCCATTCCACTGAATTCAGGACAGCAGCTAGTTTACGGACCGTTAAACATTGATCAAATATCAGACGATCTCAAGAATCAAACTGACTATGATGAACTGGACAATGGTTCTCCAGAAGAGAAGAAAATGGTGGAATAGAACTGTCCAGTTTTTAATTTTTTTTATGTTTTATAATGTCCATTTGTATGCCAGTGCTTGAACACAGTTTACCTGTAACAATTTATTTTCTTGGCAAAGTTCATTTGTGACCTCAATATTTATGTTGTTGAACAATGTAATAAAGAGATTATTGACATGAAATCACATATTGATCATAAAAGTAAAAGTCTTGTGAGTACATGATTATCACAACTGTCTTATGTAGGTTACAGAACTTTATAATGGGCCATTTTTTAGGTCACCTGAGTAAACTCAGGTGACCTATTGCTATCTGTTTTCGTACGTCGTTCGTAGTTCGTCGTCAATCGGTCGTAAACTTTTGAACATTTTCAGCTTCTTCTCTAGAACCACTGAGCCAATTTCAACCAATTTTGGCATATAACATCTATGGGTGAAGGGGAACAAAAATTGTGAAATTCAGGGTCCCTGCCCCCTGGGGCCTTAGGGGTGGGGCCAAAACCACTAAAATTATTGCAATCTTTAAAAATCTTCTTCTTTACTCCTGGACATCAAGCAAACTGTTGGCATGATTGTAATCAGTATTGAGTCCTCTACCGAAATTGTGAAATTCATGGCCCCAGGGTCAGGGGTTCTAGTGCTAGGGCGGGGCTATATAGATTATATAGTGAAAATGCATTATTTCTTTGAAAATCTTCTCCTCTGCTCATGGGTATTAAACAAACTAACTAAGTACAAAGTTATGATGACCAAGAGTTCCTCTTTCAAAATTGTGAAATTCATGGCCCCACGGTCAGGAGTTCTGGTGTTAGGGCGGGGCTCTATTGAATATAAAGTAAAAATGCATAAATTCATTGAAAATCTTCTCCTCTGCTCCTGGGTAATAAATAAACTAAACCAAGTACAAAGTTATGATGAGCAAGAATGTCTTGGTGTTAGGGCGGGGCTCTATTGATTATATAGTGAAAATGCATAAATTCTTTATAAGTCTTCTTCTCTGCTCCTGGGTATTAAACCAATGAACTACATGTATATAGATAGTTATGATGAGGAAGGATGCTTCTTCCCAATTTGTGAATTTTAGGGCCCCTGGGTCATGGGTTCTGGGTGTTAGGGCAGGATGTGATTATATAGTGAAAATGCATGAATTCTTTAAAAATCTTCTTCTCTGCTCCTTGGTATTATGCCATTGATCTAAGTACATATTTATGATGAAGAAACATGCCTCTTCCAAAATGATTAATTTCAGTGTCCCTGGGTCAGGGGTACGAGAGAGGGGGGGGGGGGTGGTACTTAGTCTAAAGATAATTTAATGCTTTGAAATCTGCTTTAGGTCTTAATCAACCATTTATGAATAAAATTTATGATAAAATTTCCAAATTTTTGAAATATGTGGCCTCAGGGTCAGTGGTTCCTGTGGGAAGGGGTGAACAAATGGTGGTTGTTACAGGATACTCAGGTGACCTATAAGGCCCGTGGGCCTCTTGTTTTACGAACTGGATCTAAAGTTTGATGCTACATATATATGTCTTTCTTTTTTACAACCAAAATACTTGACTAAATGGGTTAAAAAAGTTACCAAGTAAAGCTTACATTTTAATCTGGCTGAAGGATATCACCTGGCACTCTCCCTGGGCCGTTAAGAGTATGTGGCTGTCGTTGTAAAGTGTATTCATCTTTTAGGTTACATGTAAAATACATTCAGTATATCAGGACTCAACTCCCAACCCCCCCTGAAAAAAATAGTCTGAAGAAACTGGATAATGCTCAAAAGAAGTTAATGTGTATCAGTAGGTGTAACAAGGGTGTCCCTAAAAATGGTGGATTTTAAAATGTTTCTTCATGATGCAACAGAAAAAAGGGGAGGCATTAAATTTCATTCATATTAGATATGTCAACAACCCATTTCTGCTCTGTGTACGAGAAAAAAAAATTTTTTTAACATGTTTTTATTGTTTTTGAAAATATAGATTACCAGAACATGTATACTAGAGTATAATGGTATATGGAACAAGCCACATGGCACATAAAGAGGAGGTGGGTTATTACATTATACAGTAAAATTAACAATTAGCAGGGTAACATCATCTATATTGTCCATATACTTGTAATTCACTGTCTTGCTTTTAAACTGTGATATTTAAGTCTGGAAGATATTTTCCTTGAGGTAATATTTATATTTCTATATTTTGAGATTTTATTATTTTCTGGGTTGTTTTCACATCTTTACCAATATCCTGATAACAATTTTTATTCGGTAATTTTTTTTTTTTAAGAATTGATTTACTTTGTTAATGTATTAACAGCATTTTTTAAAATTAATTTTTAATCAAAACAATAAATAAATGCTTGAAAGAAGTATATTCATGTTTGATAACTTTGTGCTATTACTCTTGATGTGACTTTACAAAGTTAAAAAGACGGCACTTACAAACTCCCCATTTAGAAAGATCCTAACAATTATATTTTGCCATAAAGTTGCATGCAATGAAAATATGTCCTTTCCAGGACAAGATAATTTGTTATCAAACCTAGGAGTGAGTCAACTTTTGAAGTACATGTAATACAAACATGTACATGTGGTATAAATGTCATGAGGGGGAAAAAATTAAAAATTAAAATTAAAAGATTGTTATAATAAAATGCGAGTTAAGAATGTACTGTTAAACAGTTATCTTCATCTATTAGCAATGTGGATTCATGAGATTTCAAATAAATATTGAGAATTTATCTTTTTGTGAAGAATAATAGTATATTGAAGTAGAGAATCTGGGGATATCCATGTTCCAACATGATTTTTCTTTTACAGGTGTAACGTAAAACATGTACATTTGTTCTCAAAGAAATTGGGAAAGAGGTCTATGGAACACAACACCCTGAAACATTTCTTGATGTGTTTTCATTAGCCTCAAGGGCCATGCTACTTTATTGGCTGTACATAGGAATACTTGATTAACTTTTCCTTAAATAAGTTATGTTCATTGTTATTATAAAATAACTGCTTGAAACCTACATCCGAAGATATAATTTTCTTTTTCTTATTCCCCATATTCTGAAGTTCAAAATTCTTCAAAGTGTGACTTATAGTAAACATAAATGATTCAATTACTTAAGGAATAACTGTCTTATTTTTCGATTTCATGATGTGATCAATCGATTGGGTTGCGTGATAATTTGCATAAACGCTGAAGGCAAATTGACGATCTGACAGTTATTCCTTATATTTACATGCTTTGATTCCGCCAATCCACGTGCTCCAAGCCCTGCTTCTGTCTAGCTGTTTGCTCCGCCTTGCACGTGTGTTTTTTGTTGTTGTTTTTTTTGTTGTTTTTTTTGAATTGCGCCAATACATTGATAGGGAAATAAAGTACATTTACAATTTGTAATTTGATCTCGGACAAAAACATTGGAAATGTAAATATTTAGAAATAAAATGTCATTTTCATATAGTTCCGTTGTGATATGACATGAAGTCGGTCACATGATCAAATTCTATAACGCCCAATTATTCAAAGAATGCATTAATGCATTTTCACTTAAATCGAAAGAGCCCCACCAACTGGCCCCAGGGCCACACAGTTCAAAATTGTGGAAAAGACAACCTTGCTTATAACAAATATGCACAAATACTTAATACAGAAGAGGATTTCCAAAGACTTAATGCATTTTCACTATCATGATAACAATCTGGAGCCCCACTCTGACATCAGAACACTGACCCAGGGGCCATAAAAATTCATAATTTTGGAAAAGACTCCTTTCCTCGTCGTAAATATACTCTAAGTTTATCTGCCTAATACCCAGGAGAAAAGGAGATTTTCAAAGAATTATTGCATTTTTACTACATAATTACTAGAGCCCGGTTCTAACACCAAAACCCCTGACCCTGGGGACATGAAATTCATAATTTTGGAAGAGGCATTGTGATTCTAAAACGTTCTTACACTACTATAGAAATTTGACTGGGAAGGCATTTTGTAGTGACACATAAGGTGAAAATAAAAAAAAATAATGAAGTTTTTAACGTGTTTATCACACATTACATACAATAGATAATCTCTAAGATCACATATACCCAAATCCTGGATGAATGAACTTTTCAGTTTTCTGTAAATTAATACATATTGAGAACTTTTACTCAGTAAATGTATTAGGTCTTGTAAAAAATTCTTCTGGAGAACTTGAGCCCAGATAATGAAACCCTACTACTAAAAAGCTTTTCTTAGAATGTACATGTAACTCATTAATGGGTATGTTTACCGAGAGAATATGTGCACAAATCTGAGATAAGCATTTTATATGATTGTCCATACACCATAAAACAAGTATATGTATAACCATTCTAACACAAGATGCACAAAAGCACACACATCTACATGTATTTCTCATGGAGATAATGATGACTAGAAAATTCACATTCATTCACACAATCTTCTACAGATAAAATGCTATGTGAGTCACTGTTTCAGGAATAGCACATCTGAATGACACACGTACAACCTAAACTAGCTCAACATTACAGTGCTGCTAAACAGAATCCAGAATGAGATCACTGAATGGCACAGTCTGACGTAACTAATACCCTGTATAGGAGTAGTTTTGTTGTGAGGATCCGTAATACCCCGCTCCGTACTGACTGGGGGGTGGCTGACTGTACTGAGAACTAGGGTATCGGGTCCGCCCAGCCCCTGACACAGCACCGCCTCTGTGTCTTTGTTCTTGCTGTGCTATTGGTAAACCTCCCTCCTGTACGAGCTTCTTCAAAGCTGTGAAGTGCATTTTGGTCATGATCTGTAAATCTTCTAACACTGTAAATACATTCAAGTGATCACATGAATGTCATTAAGCATCAGCATTAATCAAGAATTATTCAACACTCTGATATACATGACATGATGTATTTAGATCTTTAATTTGGCACAACTTTGAACTGAAAAAAATCTTTTCTTTATTTACTGTTTTGAAATTCTAAATCATTAGAAAATAATTACTATTGCTGGGACATAGTGTTAAATCCTTTGGATCTGAGTTGTACTATGGTGCATATTTACATACTCATCAGTTTTACTTGAGGTTAGACCATAGCAGATGGGGGAATCCTTAATTATCCTATTTACTTACCAAAGCCTATCATTCAAAGTACTGCAAAATGTTTACTTACCATATCCTGCATAAGGCCTGTCATCTGAGGTACAGAGGAATATTTTTTTGAGTGTTTGTACCATGGCCCCTGTCTCTAGCACTTGTTCTGCTAAAGGTAGCGAGGAGAAATACTCCATGTCCAGCTCAAACGGATTCTGTGGAGCAGGGTAGGTGTTCAGTTTGACTAGTTCTGATACAATGTCATACACAATGTCATACAGGCTAAAGAGAACATCAGTAAAAGGTAGTTAAACAAAACACACTGGTTATAGCGAAGTCCAAGAATTTAATTCGCTATATCCCGTTATATCCGTATAAGAGAACACACCATTTGCAGTCAAAGGCTTTTGAATTGAATTTTATATACAAAGGAAATACAATGTTCAATTTATCAAACTTGCAATAACTTTAAAAGTTCGTTATAAAAGATGTAAATCTCATTATATTTGACCAAACCTAATACTATATCTTTATATACATAACCGATATTTTGAATTTTGCATGAAAATTTAAAAATATTATAAAGAAAAAAGCAATTTCACTATAAAAAAGGAAATAACTGTAGCTGTAATATTTGTTCAGAAGGTTATAGACAGTGAAAGGCTGAAAACACAAAAAAGACACAAGGAAGAGAAACAAGTCAAAAAGTAAAATGATTTCAATGTTCTAGTCTTGTGCCAGATTTAGAACAAACTGAATCTACAATTTATATGTATAGGAATATTCATTTATTAATTTATCTGCAGTTCAATTTATCTTCCGATGGAAATTTTCTACAGATCTTTCCAATAAATGGCTTTGTGTGCTCATCATTCGGTAAATTCAAGATTGTTGAGTTGAATTGAGTTGAGTCTTAGGTTGCCTAAGGGCAAGCTTTTTTTATTTCCAACCTCTATTGTTTACAGTAAGATATTATTAGTAAGGATTTGTGTTTATATGTAAAATATTTCATTATATATACAGTGTATATTGTTAACACACTTAAAGACAAGTAGATATTTTATACGTAATAAGTTATTTTCAAACCCTTTCTAACCCTTAATTTGAAAAAAAAAAAATTCAACTCAAAATCCCTTCACCTGGAGATACCTCAGAGCATATTTAGCTGAAATTGGCACAAAAAGGAAAAGTTTTCCTTGACAGATAAAAAACAAAACAAATAGGTGGCATTAATTATCTAAGAACTGCGGTGAATGAGGATCACATTATTACAGTAAGTCAGCATTAGATCTTACTTTTGTCTTTCCATGAGGCGGTGGTTTTCAGTCGGAGAGGGCTGTCTTTTTCTGACTCGGTGTCTCCCATCAGATTAATCAGCCGCTGGTGGTTGGATCGAATCCACACATAAGGACAGCTGTACCGAGCATATCCGGCTATCAGGAACAAAGTTGATGCTTCATCCTAAAAAATAAATTCTGTAGTACATGTACATAAAATCTACATGCACAATAAGAATATGGTATTAAAATACAAGGTCATGTCTGTGACCCATATGTCTTTGGAAAGATTGTAGTTCTAGTAGTCTGGACTTAAATAGTCTTTGGTTATAAGTGGAAGATAACAGTGATCAATCTTAAGAATTACGTTACCATTCACATTATTTTTTACTTTCATAAAGGGGTGATAAATAACATAAAGGGGTGATAAATAAAGATGACCTTCTGCCACAAAAATGAATTCAAGGCATAAAATCTTCACTACCAAACGGGATTTACACACCATAACTCACACAAAACTTATAAACATTCCTTAATTAATCATTCTTTTACAGATGAACTTTATCAATAAAAAAATCAAATTATAAGATAAATCCTAAAATTATACCCCTGGTAGAGTTTCTGAGTCACTTGGTGAGGCGGGTGGTAGACCCACACCTTTGGGGACAGCTGCCGTGGTCAGGTTCATCTGTGATCGCATGGATATCAACAGGGACCTCCTACAGGTAGAGTAACACTCAGGTAATAATAATATTACAGATATATATTTTTGTTAAAAATTTAATAATTAAAAATAAAATGTTTGTAATGGGCAGAATTAAAAATTCAACAGATAAAAATAAGAAAAATTACCAGACAAGGTCATTATTTTTTAACCTTTAAGGATATTTTGTTAAAATTTATATAGCTTTAATGTGCAGGATTAAAATCATCAGAAAAAATAAGATAAAAGACAATGGTTGTTTGTTTATTTCAATATTTGTTTTGTATATAATTTAATGTGGTGAATATACATTTGAGAAGTAAAAAAAAAAATGTCAAACAAACTTAAATTTTTGATGTAGATTTTTTAAAATAAAAAGTATATTTAGATTTTTTTTACACACTGACTTACTTATCATATGGAAGATTATTGGACGTTAAGCTTCCACTCCTGTTAGGATCTTTGAAGCTCGGGGTCATACTCTTGGTCTCCAGTGTGTGGCTGTAATGTGAGGACTGAAACAAAGCAATTTACGGTGTAGCTTAAATACTTGTGAGTATTTTGACTTGTGCAATTGACTCAACCTTTACAATAAATAACTGAGCAATAAACAAATGTAACAAGCTTTGTGACTTGTGGCCATATTCTTTTATGGACTAAATCTTCAAATTGCAAAGTGTTAAATAAATTTCTACCCATAAAAACAATTATAGTGAGGGTCACGAAGCGATGCTCTTCACTGCGAGTGCTAAAGACAATGCCTGGGCGGAGAGAAAATTCGGACTACTGCACATTCATTTGATAGAATTTTTTCCCCAGTTACTTTGGACCCACAATGCATCACTTCGTAAAGCAACATTTCTTGCAAGAAAACATAAAAAGTTAAACAAATAATAGCGAGCGCAGTGAGTGTCGCGAAGCGACGCTCTTAACTGCGAGCTCTAACAACAACGCCTGGGCGAAGAGTAAATTCGGACTACTGCACATTCATTCCATTGAATTTTTTTCCGCAGTAATTTTTACCCTCAATGCATCGCTTTGTACACAAACGCTAAAGCAACGTTCTCGCGAGAATAACGACAAAAGTTAAAAGAAAAATATTTACATTTCCAATAAATTTTCCCTTAGTATGATTCTTTACAAAATAAAATGCAGTATATTTTCTCATGAACTACATTAGGTATGTATCACAAATAAGCATAAATATCTCCATTGTTACGTCATAATACCGCTCTTGACGTCAAAAAGTCAAAAAAATATAGTGCACACTGTTTTGTTTTAAAAATGACAGTTGAACGGTGTAAATTTATGGCAAGTCAGCAGAAAATTAATGTAAATATAAGAAATATTTAGATTTTTTGAAGATTCAAAAAAAAATCACGCCGGCATATTTATCACCCCACGTAAGTGCTAACGCGCTTCATGAAATATGCCAGCGTGAAGCGTCGTAGTTCATAACCTCATGAATCTTCAAAAATTAAATTCATTTCTTAAATAAACTTGCCTTGATTTGATGAATTTATCTGTTTATTGCAGAAAAATAGTCATAAACTGACTGAAATCAGCCCTGTTCAGGCTTCTGTTTGGTAAAGCAACATGCAAACGACGGCATGTGATGTCAGAGTCTTAAACGCACCAAATGTCACGTGCGGTTTGACGAGTCCGATCTAAATGAAAAACTGGATAAGTATTTGCACTCGCCCTAATGGTCGCACCGTCAACATATTAAATTTGTCTTGATTGAATGAATATATTGCACACAAATAGTCAATAAAATGGTTCTTAATTAAAATCAGCCCTGTTCAGGCTTCAGTTTGGTAATGCAACATATATACATACGATGTCATAGTCTAGACGCATCAAATGTCACATACAGTTTGACGAGCCCAATCTTAATTAAAACTGAAAAAGTATCTACACTAGCCCTTACGGTCGCATCGTCAACATATTATATGTATAATTCAAATGAAACCAAGAAATAGACTGTTTCTCTCAGAATATTAAAACCTACTTTTGGTTCATTGAGAACACTTATAACCAGCTCTTCTCGTCCCCGGAGGTACATGGCAAAGTTCTTGAAACCTTTGATGGTTCCAAATTTTAGCATTTCTGCAAGGAAAGCCTGCAGCCTCTTTTTCAGAATGTTTTCTTGTCTCTGAAAATAGAAACATGAGCATTTAAAAAATATGTATTACCACAGGAAAGAAATATTAATTTCAAATATATCGGAGACAATCTCTAAAGATTTAAGAAGCTACAATTCTTTCTTACCGCAGCATCCATTGTTGATTGCTTTTTTTTCCCTTTTTATAATCGGAAATCGTGAATGAAGAAGTATATGAAAATAGAATCGGGTTAGTCTCTAAAAATCCGGAAAAATAAATTGTGAAAGAGGGTGCATCCCACCCTTACAATGTTCCAGCATGCAGGTTAGAAAAGGAGAATATTTTTCTAATGATGAATAATTCATAAAAAAAATATATAATTATTTGTCGTGGTTTAACAACGACAAATGGGTTAAATAAGTGTCTGTGCTATAAGATCTATAGATTTATGTCAACGCAAAAAATGTATATATCTATGGCATGCCAAATTCACAAAAATGAGCAAAACATAGTTTCACAGTCGATAAACTAGGTTTATCGGTTGTAAACTATAGTTTAAGGACTGTAAACTATAGTTAACAACGTTAATCTATATTTTACCTCTGTAAACCATAGTTAACGCGATAATCTATGTTTCAGAACTGTAATACTTAGCACCAAAAACAATCATTTGCGATTGCAAAACATAGATTATCTGATAAATACAGTTTCACGATTGTAAACTATTGTTTACAACTCTTAACTATAGTTAACGATCGTCAATTATAGTCTACAGGCGTTAACCTGTGTTTGTGAACAGCGAAAATTTATTGTTAACGTTTTATTACAGACAGATAAATATGGCACGCCAAATTCACAAAAATGAGTTAAACATAGTTTCACAATTGATAAACTAGGTTTATCGACTGTAAACTATAGTTTACAAACCGTAAACTATAGTTAACTATAGTTTTCATCTGTAAAACTAAATTTAACGGTTGTTAAATATAGTTTACGTATGCTAATCTAAGTTTATCTGTCTGTAATAAAACGTTAACAATAGATTTTGTTGTTAAACATAGATTCACGTCTGTAAACTATAATTTACGATCGTTAACTGTAGTTAAGAGTTGTAAACCATAGTTTACAATCGTGAAACTGTATTTATCAGATAATCTATGTTTTGCAATCGCAAATGATTAATTTCGGTGTTAAGTATAGTTTACGGTTGTGAAACATAGATTATCGCGTTAACTATGGTTTACAGATGTAAAATTATGGCACGCCAAATTCACAAAAATGAGATAATCATAGTTTCACAATCGATAAACTAGGTTTATCGGTTGTAAACTATAGTTTACGATTCGTAAACTATAGCTAACAACGTTAATCTATATTTCACATCTGTAAACCATAGTTAACGCGATAATCTATGTTACACAACCATAAACTACATGTATACTAAACACCGAAAACAATCATTTGCGATTGCAAAACATAGATTATCTGATAAATACAGTTTCATGATTTGTAAACTATAGTTTACAAACCGTTAACTATAGTTAACGATCTGATAAATATAGTTTCACAATTTGTGAAACTATGATTAACAACTCTTAATTATAGTTTACGATTGTAAACTATAGTTTACAAACGTGAATGTATGTTTATCAACAAAATCTATTGTTAACGCTTTATTACAGACAGACAAACTTAAATTAACATTCATAAACTATAGTTAACAACCGTTTAATATAGTTTTACAGATGAAAACTATAATTAACGAATTGTTAAGTATAGTTTACGGTTTGTAAACTATAGTTTACAGTCGATAAACCTAGTTTATCAATTGTGAAACTAGGTTTATCTCATTTTTGAGAATTTGGCGTGCCATATAAAATATAGATTAACGTTGTTAACTATAGTTTACAGTCCGTAAACTATAGTTTACAGCATAAACCTAGTTTATTGTGTGATTTTTTCCTTTTTAATTTCGTGCCATAAACATTAATGGCACGTAAATTCACAAAAATGAGCAAAACATAGTTTCACAGGATTAGGTTTATCCTTGTAAAAAGTTTACGGACTGTTAACTATAGTTAACAACGTTAATCTATATTTTACATTTGTAAACTGTAGTTAACGCGATAGTCTATGTTTCACAACCGTAAACTATAATTAACACCAAAAACAATCATTTGCGATCACAAAACATAGATTATCTGATAAATACAGTTTCACGATTTGTAAACTTTGGTTTACAACTCTTAACTATAGTTAACGATCGGAAATTATAGTTTACAGACGTTAATCTATGTTTATCATCAAAATCTATTGTTAACGTTTTATTACAGACAGATAAACTGAAATTAGCATTCGTAAACTATAATTAACAACCGTTAGATATAGTTTTACAGACGAAAACTATACTTAACGAATTGTAAACTATAGTTCACGGTTTGTAAACTATAGTTTACAGTCGATAAACATAGTTTATCAATTATGAAACTATGTTTAGCACGCCAAATTCACAAAAATGAGCTAATGATAGTTTCACAGTCGATAAACTAGGTTTATTGGTTGTAAACTATAGTTTACGGACTGTTAACTATAGTTAACAACGTTAATCGACATTTTACATTTGTAAACTATAGTGAACGCGATAATCTATGTTTCAGAACCGTAAACTATAATTAACACCAAAAACAATCATTTGCGATCGCAAAACATAGATTATCTGATAAATACAGTTTCACGATTTGTAAACTTTGGTTTACAACTCTTAACTATAGTTAACGATCGGAAATTATAGTTTACAGACGTGAATCTATGTTTATCAACAAAATCTATTGTTAACGTTTTATTACAGACAGATAAACTGAGATTAGATTCGTAAACTAGTTAACAACCGTTAAATATAGTTTTACAGATGAAAACTATACTTAACGAATCGTTAACTATAGTTTTTACGGTTTGTAAACGATAGTTTACAGTCGATAAACCTAGTTTATCAATTGTGAAACTAGGTTTAGCTAATTTTTGTGAATTTGGCGTGCCATAGATAAACTTAGATTAGCATTCGTAAACTATAGTTAACAACCGTTAAATATAGTTTTACAGATGAAAACTATAGTGAACGAATTGTAAATTATAGTTCACGGTTTGTAAACTATAGTTTACAGTCGATAAACCTTGTTTATCATTTATGAAACTATGTTTAGCTCATTTTTGTGAATTTGGCGTGCCATATATATCGTTCATTTTAGTCAATAGTTTTATTCAAATGCCCGAACGAACATGATGATGATGCATATTAGAAATTGAAATTAAAAGCATCACAATTTGTAGTTTTTAAGATCTCGTGAAAAACCACCGTGAAATTAAAAAACAGATACTTTTATACGACTAATGCTGAGCTATCATACTTTACATGTGGATTCACTCAAATATGAGCTCTAGGTCCTTTTCTGGATACAATTATTCTTACCAATTAACTTTTACCTTGGAGATTGACCTAGTTTTGAAAAACTTTAATCTTGGCCATAACTTTTGAATAGTTGGTACCAGGGCTCAAAGTATTCACTGAGATAGGTCCTTTCCTTGGATACAATTATTAATGGCCGTTTGACCTTGATCCTTTAGAGTTCCATCAACTTTTGAAAAACTTCGCCGTAAGTTTTCAACGATTGGCGCTAGAACATTCATATTTCACAGGTATATTTCTTTAGACAAGTCTTTCTTTGGGTACCAACATTTTATATCTCTTGACCTTGACATTGGATTATGACATTTGAGAAATTCAACCCTTGAAATAAATAAAATACCATATGGTGGCATCAGTGTCTCAATCATCTTGTTTTATTTCAGACATTTACTTCGATATTTTTTTTCCAGACTTTCAATCCAACTTTTTATACTTCTTATCTTGTCCACTTCAGAATGATTGATTATTGATTTGATCACTTGTGTTGCTAGATTTAACACCGGGGATGATTTTTAAGATGGTTGTGTTCAAACGTTTGAATTATATGATCTACATGTCGACGGCTCTTGTCTGTAGATGTATTGTCTTTTGGAATGGTCTTAGATATATCTTGGTAATGGCTTTGATCACTATAATATACAAATTGCTGACATAACAAAGCGTCCTTTATTTCTACTGTGTAACTAGAGTTGAAGGGGTCCCATATTGAAACGGACGTAACCACCCACCGAGTACAAAAATAAATTTAATGTTGGTGTATATTTATTTTAAATGCCTACATATTAAAAAGATAGGACACGATGATATCTTGTAATTAATACAATTTTTTTAATGTTTTAAATAAAAATGAAATTGAATAAGGAGCATCTCTCAACTATATAATTTCTTAAAGCACACTAGCTGTAGTTGTTAATTGCAAATTATGCGGTGTGTGTGTGGTTTTTAAGAGGGGGAGCTCTTCTGTACCTGTTACCACATTGTTAGGAGCATGGATCTGCTTTAGTCTTTGAAAAATGACAATCAACCTGCATGTAATGTTTTAAAGATTTTAATGAACAATCCTTATAATTCAGTAATTAATCTTTTTTAAAAAATATATACACATACATGTAAATGTATCCCCTAAAATCACTTTTGTCATAATTTGTTTTCTGTTCTTGCATAAAAATCAGTCACGTTTTTATGCCTCTTTTATAATTCCTCATATATAAGGAATTGTTAAACATTCCAATTCTGTAAGAATAATTTAAGTGCAAAGACATTTAAAATCCTTAAAATCCACTGATAATCATCACACTCTTATGATCAACAATAGGGTGTTAACACGACTAGAGATATCTTGCATCTCTTTAACATATATACGATGAACTGTTGACAGATTTGGATTTTAAAGATAATGCTACAAAATCTGATAAATCCAAAGATTCAGATTGAGAAATATTTCTAAATAGTTTAGGGAACTTGGGGGTAGGAAACTTCCATAAAAATCAATTTAATTATTTTGAATTTGAATTTGTAATATTTTTGCTAAATATTCAGTTCTGATCAATGCTTTCTAAATGAGCATGCTTGTTGTACCAGTCCAGTTACAGAGATTGGTCTGTGGTTACCAAGAATAAAGCCCCCCGTTATCGTTTTTGACAGATAACCGATCAATCTAAAGATCCCCCGGGTCTTTAGTAACTATTCACTCTACACAAACACAAACGACCACTTTGTCTCTACCTCTGGCTGCGGGTAGACCGTGATTTTTGGGGATGAAGCAGGGATAGAGTTCAATAGCAGCAAGATGATGATGGAAACGAAGACCCCGGACACGGCCAGGAGCTTCACGATCACATATACCCCCCGCGTGGCCAAAACCGGAGGTATCCTGGGTATGCTGTTATTTTTACTACCTTTTTTAAAAACATTTTACGGTAGGAATTACATACATGTATATTAGCAGTATATAATTTTATTTGAAGATGTGCAATATTAGTCAAGTTTTCGGTTTTTTTTTATCTTAAAACAAAAAAAAAAAATACACAGGTGATACATGTAATATTGAATAACGAATCTGCCAAAAGTAGAGATAAAATGGTTATTAAGAAGATAAACTGGAAAAGGAAATTTTTTAAAATGTGACAAATCAAAATCTACAGGAAGAATCTAAGGAAAATATACCCAGGTATTTTTCAAAGTAAGACCGACTGTTTAGATTGGGAAAAATAAAGCAAAGTACATTTATATTGTATATTACATTTTAAAGCTTTTTCCTAGGAATCTAAATGTTGACTATCAGTTTTAAGGAATTTGTTGGAGAAAGAGATTTAAAATCTTATATAAAAGAATACTACTACTTCTGCTTGCATAGCAGTCGGGACAAGTTTTTGTCAATGTTTATTTAGAAATCCAGATATTGGATTGTCCCTGATTGATGAAGAATTTAATGAGTTTTAGAAAACTGATTACCTTGATAAATAAATGAAATGAAACGTAAAATAAATGTAGATCTTATCTTGAGCTGGATTCTGCGATATTTTTCAGCATGTCATGTCAAACTCTCTCTCTCTCTCTCTCTCTCTCTCTCTCTCTCCTTATTTATTGCAGTGACAAATACGAGCACCTGCAGTTGTACAGAATTGTTCTTTATACATAAATATGGACATTTAAAAAACGTATTTGTTTACTTTGTTCTCGTATTGTGCCAAGCAACTTGACTTGATGACTTCAGTGAAGTCTGCACACACTTCCCCGGTTTATATACTGCATTGTTTCTAAGTACAATAAAAATACAAAATATTTCAGCTATCCAATTGCTGGAAGTGTGTAAAATGAACCTTCTTTAAAACGGCAACCCTTGCACCCTGTGCCTTTTATTATACCTCCGCTTGAAAAGCAGGAGGTATATAGTAATGGGGGTGTTAGTCCGTTAATCTAGGGGGTACCCATCTATTATCCACAACTCCTCTTATACCACTGAATGAAATTAAATGAGACTTTCACAGAATCCATTGTGACCTCCTATTTCACTTTTTGATCGGACATATTTCGGATCTCCCAGAGCACAACATGGACACTGCCATTCTTTCTGTAATAGTGATGGGTATCCATCTCTTAACAGCAACTCATCCTATAGCACAGAATAAAATTTAGTAATACTTTCACTTATTTTTTATATTACATAATGCCATTTTGCTCCTCTTATTTTACTTTTTCATCTAACACTTATTTTGGGTCTCCCAGAGCAAAACATGGATTCCTTCAATTAAAATCATAAGGGAGGCGGGGGTATGATTTTGTGAGCTCAGTGCTCGCAGTAATTCTAGTTTGTCGTAGGAAATCCCACGTAGCATGTAACGATGATATTAACTTTCTATCGTCAGCTTCCCTTCTTTATGTTCCACTACATGTATACCGTATATCATTATATCATTATCACCTGCATATGTGGTATTTGTCTTAATTCCAGTTGATCATTTCGATATTCAAAGCATGCTTTTACGTTACAAACATTTTCTAAAACAAGGCAAGCTGTTGACAAATATTTGATGGTACAAGGATATCAACATTTTCGAATAAAGTCAACACTTCAAGTCTATGGTTAATACAATAACATACACTTCAAGTCTATGGTTAATACAATAACCTTGTAACCTTGTAAACAAATGCAAGTGTAAGTACTAACATAATTCCCCCTTCCAATAAATATATATATTAAATGGATATTTATTATTTTTTCAAAACACATAGGTGAAATACAGGAAAATCCAGGTAAATCCAAACACCAGAAAGCAGGCTATAATTGTTCTCAACACACACTGTACGCCTATTGTTTTATACCTATTAATTAAATGGGGTGCAAAACGGGAACTCGCCTTTTTAGACTATTATTTTCCCAATTCATTGATTTGATTTTCCTCGTGTGTCCGAGCATGACAAGGAGCGACGTCAGCAGGGAATGCTTACTCCCACATGGCACCTGATCCAACCTCTGAGGTCTGTACTTACTCTGCTCCAAATTTGTATTCGACATGTGCAGCTGCACAAGGGCTTATGGGGGGAGCTTTTGAACTTTATAAAAAGACATATATCTACTAGGTATAAAATGCTTTAGCTTTTTAACCGTTGGAACTAAAATGCTTCAACGTGCAGATATGTAGACGGTCCTAGACAAAACTCAGGTTCTGTCCAAAACGTACATCTAACTATTGCAGATAAGCTGAGGTCGTCTAAGCTGTGTCGTCTATATTGTCAGATATAATTACTTTTATCTTTTTTTTAATGTTACCTTAATTACTTTAGTATTTAATTTTCAATATATAGCACAGCTGTGCATTAGATGTGGAGGGTACAGCGCATCTAACCACGACTACTGCATCCAGTGTGTGGAAAGTCTGAAAAAGACGTGTTGTCATAACGTGAGTATTACATCCAGTGTGTGGAAAGTCTGAAAAGGACGTGTTGTCATAACGTGAGTATTACATCCAGTGTGTGGAAAGTGTTGTCATAACGTGAGTATTACATCCAGTGTGTGGAAAGTGTTGTCATAACGTGAGTATTACATCCAGTGTGTGGAAAGTGTGTGGAAAGTGTTGTCATAACGTGAGTATTACATCCAGTGTGTGGAAAGTCTGAAAAAGACGTGTTGTCCTAACGTGAGTATTACATCCAGTGTGTGGAAAGTGTTGTCATAACGTGAGTATTACATTCAGATGGAGAAAATATTGTCATAACGTGAGTATTACATCCAGTGTGTGGAAAGTGTTGTCATTACGTGAGTATTACATCCAGTGTGTGGAAAGTGTTGTCATAACGTGAGTATTACATCCAGTGTGTGGAAAGTGTTGTCATAACGTGAGTATTACATCCAGTGTGTGGAAAGTGTTGTCATAACGTGAGTATTACATCCAGTGTGTGGAAAAAGACGTGTTGTCCTAACGTGAGTATTACATCCAGTGTGTGGAAAGTGTTGTCATAACGTGAGTATTACATTCAGATGGAGAAAATGTTGTCATAACGTGAGTATTACATCCAGTGTGTGGAAAGTGTTGTCATTACGTGAGTATTACATCCAGTGTGTGGAAAGTGTTGTCATAACGTGAGTATTACATCCAGTGTGTGGAAAGTGTTGTCATAACGTGAGTATTACATCCAGTGTGTGGAAAGTGTTGTCATAACGTGAGTATTACATCCAGTGTGTGGAAAGTCTGAAAAAGACGTGTTGTCATAACGTGAGTATTACATCCAGTGTGTGGAAACGTGAGTATTACATCCAGTGTGTGGAAAGTCTGAAAAGGACGTGTTGTCATAACGTGAGTATTACATCCAGTGTGTGGAAAGTGTTGTCATAACGTGAGTATTACATCCAGTGTGTGGAAAGTCAGAAAAAGACCTTTTGTAGATTCAAATCCGTTCAAGTATTATGACCATGACCCTGGGGGTAGTTGGGGCCATAATGGGGGGGTGCAAAGTTTTACATAGGATTATATAGGAAATCTATTTTGAAAATCTTCTCAAGAACAGCAAAATTGTTGTAATTTAATCAATATATAACCATATATAATGAGATTGAATTACTGTATACAGGGAAATTTTCGCCCCTGTTTTATTTTCGCCCCTTTCGCACTTGTCACAAGTGGGCGAATTTAAAACGGGGAGAATTCAAAGAACATAATATAAATTCTTAAACAGAACTGGGACTGGGCGAATTTAATACGGGGCAAATTTGTAAGCAAGTGTATAAAGGGCGAAAATAACACGGGGCGAAAATAACCCTGTATACAGTATTTGTTTTTAAAATTGTCATCTCTGGATGAGGGGTGGTTGGTAAATAGGAAATAAAAGTTTTAGCCTTTATAAACATTTTTTTCAGGAACAACAGAGATTTTGTTTACATGATAACCCCCTGGAGTAGGATGGGGCCTAAATGGAGTTTTATATACGTATGTCTTCTTCTCAACAACAGCAAACTTATGATAATTCACATTTATAAAGAAGCATCCTCAGATAGTGCAGACTGAAGTTTGGGTAGGTTTGGTCCACAAAAAGTTATCGAAGATTTACATAAGAATATGTAGGGAAAAGAATCTGCGGATGAAGAGTTTAACCATAGGCACCGGTCATTGGACCGGTCGATGAAATGTTGGACCGCTTACGTCACAGAATGGGCGGAGCTTAATCTCATTTTCACGAATGTGTTCAACAGTGACAGACCCGAGGTTACATCACAGAAGACGCTACAAAATATATGTGTGTGTAAAAAAATAGATAAAATGAAAGGTGTAACAAAACATTTATTGACTACTATGTATGTTCTCAGCTTGGTTCTTGTGTCCGACAAAACGCATGTTGCTCTCGAACTCGGTCAATAAATGTATATTAAATTATATTGAGAAACGTGAAATGAAAATTGTTTTCAAAAAAGATTTGAAATTCAGGCTTTATTTTGAGACTTTTTAATCAACTTTTAATGATTTTTGGAGTTACCCTTCCTGCAAGAGGAGACGATATCCTTAACATAAGGTCAATAAAGGTGTTTGCATGTATAACAAATAGAATACCAGTGTTATCAATGTCCCGTTATATGAAATATGTATCTTTCAGAGAAACTATGACATCAAGAGAAAACCAGAAAAGAAGAAAGAAATGAGGAAAGATGACAGAAGAGAGCATAAAAGTAAAGATATTTATTAGACTTAATCAAGTATTAGAGGGGGGGGGTATGGTACTTTATCTCATAATTTTTACATTATTAGCTCACCTGAGCCAAAGGCTCAAGTGAGCTTTTCTGATCAAAATTTGTCCGTTGTCTGTCGTTGTTGTCGTCGTCATTGTCGTCGTAGTCGTTGTTGTAAACTTTTCACATTTTCATCTTCTTCTTAAGAACCACTGGGCCAATTTCAACCAAACTTGGCACAAAGTATCCTTGGGTAAAGGGGATTCAAGTTTGTTCAAATGAAGGGCCACGCCCTTTTCCAAGGGGAGATAATTATGAATTAGAGAAAAATTAATGGCATTTAAAAAAAATCTTCTTCTCAATAACCACTGGGCCAGGAAAGATGAAACTCATGTGGAATCATCCTCAGGTAGTGTACGTAGATTCAAGTTTGTTCAAATCATGACCCTCGGGGGAAGGTAGGGGCCAAAATGGTCGATCAAAGTTTTTCATAAGAATATATAGGGAAATCTTTTAAAATCTCCTTCTCAAGTACTTCAAAGCCATAATTAGTGATATTTATATGAAATCATTCAGGTTTTGTAGATTTCTAGTTTATTCAAATCATGACCCCCTGGGTAGTTAACTTTAATACCCCCCTCCAAACTCAGTAAACTTTCATTTCTGATCTGATATTTGCTTTTTCCTAGTCTGTGTGCTCAAGTGAGCGCTGTGGCCCCTGGGCCTCTTGTTTTTCATTGGCATATTAATTTAAAGATTTAGATGACTTGTGTTCTGATATGTTCCCTTACTATTTAGATAATTCTGTATAAGTATTGGTATGTTATAGATAACTTCTGTATTGGCTGTAAGGTGTCTGACGTGGGGGCAGGAGGTACCCTCTGTCTTATCTGTGTGGCCAAGAGGCGGGAAAAAGAGAGACAGAAGAATATACATAAATATGACCACAAGGACCATTACGTAAGTTTAATTGGTTATAAATACGGTTCACAGTTGAATATTTGCATTTTTTTCATGATTTTATCTTACAAAAGTAATTTTTAAAATTTATACTTCAGTTTGGGTCAGGGGACCTCATCAAGGCCTACTCGGCACCTCCAAGAGACGATTCCTGGAAAAAAGGTTGGTCATCTTTTTTAAATGATATACATGTAGTTAATATGCCGTGCATGTTTTAAACGAGCCTTTTTATTATGTCTTCCCATATTGTTTTTGGCACAGTCGATCATCTTCATCCAATTTTGTCCAGGCCGTAACTTGAATACCCTTTCGCATGAAGACTTCAAACTTGGACCATACATATATGACCATGAGACAGAGGGCAGCCACCAAAATTTTTTACCTTAATCTTTATATAAGCTCAAGGTCAAACTTTTGCATCAAAATATAGTCCAGGCCAAAGCTTGAGTATCCTTTGATATTAGGACTTCAAACTTGTAACATAGAAAGTAGACAATAATACAAGGCATACTACACCAGAATTTTGACTTTGACCCGTTTCTTTCTTCAAGGTCAAATAGAGAAAAAGAAGGTCTGACATAACTTGAGAATCCTTTGACATTTAGACTTCAAACTTGGAAAATGCAGAGGACACATAGAAGACTGCATGTCATCAAAATTTTTGACCTTGATCCAATTATTATAAGGTCATGGTCAATATTTTACATCAAAATGGAGTCCAGTACATAACGTGATTACTCTTCGATATCAGGACTTCAAACTTGTAACATAAAAAGAAGACATTGAAACAAGACGCAATGCACTAGAATTTTGACCTTGACCCCTTTCTTCCTTCAAGGTCAAATAGACAAATTAACTTGATTATATCTTAACTTAAGAATCCTTTCTTATAAAGACTATAAACTTGCAGAGGTGGTACAAAAGTTGGATGCATGCGGCAAAAATTTTCAACTGACATCCAATTTATAAGGTCAAAGTCAAACTTTTACATTAAAAATAAATGCACTGTATTATTTCTACCCTGATGGTAAAATTGCACTTATTAATTTGGTAAAGGAGAGACATGTAATTTTTGTTTAAAAAATACCCACTAGTTTTTAAAATGTTAACAGATTGGCGATGCACTGTGTGTCTTCAGAGGGTAAGACCAGAGAAGAAACCAACTTGTTATGGCTGTGAAATTAAACAGATGCTTTTATCCAGGAGAATGGTATGGAAATCTAATTGTTAAAATGTAACATCAAATTACTTCAAATAATTTTCAATAAAAAATACTTATCCCCTTTTTGTAATGTGTTTGGCATTTTTTTAACAAGTAAAAATCTTTTTTTAGAATATAGTTGATGTGGAGAAAGACTTAAATAAGTACAAACAAGAAGCTACTGGAGTCAAGGAGGAATTTTTGTCTTCAGAGCCGAAGGATGGCGTCACTAAATGGGTAAGAATTGGCTTTTGAATGTAATATAAAAGATAACAAATAGCAATCAATGCCATGCTCAAAAGTTAATTCAAACAATGAAAATCAGGAGCAGAGCAAATACAGAACTCTAAAACATCAGAGCTAGGTGGGATCAGTTCAAGACAAAGGGTGAAGGATTACATAAGAAATGCATCATAAAATTCTTCAGAAAAACAAGAGGGTCAGAGTATGGTTATTCTTTCAAAATCCAAATATGTAGCTGAATCTATTCAAATTATTGTTTATTAATGCTCTAAGAGAGGTGCAGATTTTACACAGAAAAATGCAAGCTTTTCTCAGAAGGCCACAATTTTAAAATCAAGCATCAATGTACATTACTGTAAATTGAAATCAAGCATTACATGGTTTCTCAAAGACTTTCATTTACCAGTAATTAAAATAATTTATATATGTAGATCTGTTCATATCGGCCTCTTCATCCTTGAAACTTTTGTGTACGCTGCTTATCATTATATAATGTCATAATTATAATTTGCAGGAAATGTCATTTGAAGTAAGGAAAAAGTCTTTGGAGGATATAAAGAATTCCGTGAATCGCCTGAATCTCTCCAAAAAACAGGACATGGACAAACAGAAAGAAGTCATGCAATATATTGATGGACTTATTACCGCATGCAAGATTCATGTAAGTTTTCAAAATCTGTTGCAACTTATAAGTTCATTTATTACAACCTTGATGTATAAACATTCTTTGAAGCTGTTTGTTGTGTTTATTACAGTTTGAGAGTAGGAAAGAAAAATCTCAGGAGAATCCACAAAAGGAGGATGTACAAAATCGCACTGAACATTGAACTCTTCATCATGGACTTTAATTCTATCGACTTGTGACTGGTTTTTTTTCTATGTGCACATTGAAAGGCTGTATTTAATCTACACATAAATGTTTGTATAACATGGTTAAAGGAATTTTATATTTTACACAGACATTTTCAGTAAGTTCACATTTTACATTTTGAAAAAATGCATCAAATAAATCAACTGTATTTGAACTACCTTACATCTGTACTTATTGCAAATCAATTTATAACTATCCAAACCAGATTCTGCATATATGCACATACCCTTTCATTTTTCATTATTTCAATTTTTAATGTATTTATTACACACTATCTTATAGAATGAGGTGTATCCCCTTGAATTGATATGTGTCACCTCTAGACCTCATACAGAGGTGACAAGTTCCTCTCATAGAAGTTAAATAAAAAACAAAAATAATGTGGTTCAATAAAAAATTTATTACAAAAGCAAATTAATATAAAATATACCCTGCATGCATAGCAACACCTTAAAATTTACACAGAAATAATAAATGCAATCATAACCAATGAAAATAAGGATTTATAAAATATAAAACTAACAGTTAAAAAATAAATAAGCATAATCACCAATATACCCAATGTTTAAAAGGAATTACTAGACTACTTACTCTATCACAAAAAAATATTTAAAACTATTGAATCACTAAAATCTCTAGTTTTATTCACCGTTTATCAGGACAGAAACTTGCATGAAAATACAAGTTTAAAAAATGCATGATAAAATTCTACCCAAAAATGCTTTGTCACAACCTTTAGAATAATCTAACCATATGGTCATCTATACTACAATACATTCAAAGATTTTAATCAGCAGCAGAATTGTGACTATCAAAATTTGTAAAAAGCTCAGCATGAAGTATTTTACATTGCTTCAATCTCTCTTTATTGATGTAAAATCAATTTATTTTGTTGCATTTTTATTCATAGAGCTCATGTTCAGGAGAGAAAAAGAGTCACAATATATTACATTTTGTACTAGTAAATATATCCATGAATTTATGACTTCAGCAAAACTAGTAAGAATTTTCTGGCATTAAAAAGTAGGTGGCAAAGGCAGCTAAAATTGTGTTAATTATGCACCATACAAAAACACACAAGTCAGATCTAATACACCTTAGACACAACAAGAAATTGCTGGACACAAGATAAAATAAAATTATACACACACTGGATTAAAACAATGAGTATTTTAGGATTCAAAGTAGAAAACAAGTATACATGTAAATATCAAATCTTTGGGATTATCAGAAGCTGGCCAATTTTAAAATCTTGTGTATCTTACAATTCTCTTGCTTTAATTCTTCATTAGTAAGAGTTTATTTTCACTTTTATGGTATTCTGATAAGGCCATTTACATAAGTAAGTGCAACATCATGATAGTGACAGTGCACCAATTGTTCACAATTTGTCATCACAATATATGTACCAAAACTGTCCACAACATGCTGTTGTGCTGTGAGAACAAATAACTTCTCAATGGCACTTTCAACTAGTACATTGTAACACTTTTGCCTGTGACAACGTGCTAACACAAAGTGACAATGGGCCATTGCAATGTGAACAACAGACTAGCACATTGTCAATTTGAGCTAAGACCCCCTACCCTTAATACATCATAGCTGAAGCAGGAGGCCAATAGGCCACAAGGCTCAAACAAATGAGTAACTAGTCTACAGTTGTTATAATTTACCTGTTTCAATAGAATTAAAGAAAGATTGATATACAATTTTTCTTTCAAAAGGAAAAAAAAAACCTTTTTTAATCATAAAATTGTATAAGAGTATACAATTATTTGTAAAATAAATTCTTTAATATTTTTGTATTAATTCAATTTCATTGAACTTGGCAATCAGAAAGGCAAAGCTCATTAATATAAACTCTATCATGTTGATGCAATCTGATAACTCTAATTATCTAAAATCAAAGGTCATCTTAATGGAGAACACATGGGCAATCTCTGAGATTATAGAACAGACAAAAATTTACCATAAAAAACACAGATCTATTTTCCATTGTCTGAAAAGTTAAAAAAATTACCTCTACTTTCACGTCACAACTAACGTATACCAGCAAGAGGTACATATAAAATACATGTAAAGTCATTTAAATTAAGTGACTACTTCCTACACAATATGAAATAAAATAAATCCTACTATTTACAGTTAAATTCATGCAATATATTGTCCAACCAAACCATACATGAATACAAACAATTCCCTAAATAGTACTGCTTTATGAAAATTTAATCACGTCTCACTCTATCAAATTGTGGTTTTAGGGAAAAAAAGCTATATTACTCTTGTGATTTATAAATGTGAAGACACTTTATTTAAGGTGGATGAAATAGTAGTTATTTTGATATTTACTTAAAATCTGTTCAAAGCAAAAGCTGTATAAGTGGTTATATTGAAAGTTTGAAAATTTCTGTATGTTGCAAATACATGTATGACAAAGGTCTACTACAATTAAACAATGCTCTTTAAAAAGGCCAGGAAAGTTGTAAAGCCAAGAGTAAATTTGATAATGATAAAATAGTGTATAAATTAGTCCAACTTTCTTTGAAGCTGATCCCATGATTTAAAACAACATCGAATTTATTTCATTCATGTTTTGAAAAATAAATCAACAACTGCATAACATATAAGTATACTAATTCAAATAGTAAACCATTCAATTTCAACATCTTATTTAACAAACACAAGTTTCTTATAAACATTTATAAAAATATAAAATCCTTTTCTTTCTTTCATTTCATATACCGGTGACTGAGTTTTCCCTCTTATCTTAACTTGCTCACAACCAGTTAAAAAAATACCTTCCTATTTTATTTGAAATGGGTCTGGCAAAGTTTGCCAATGAATATTTCATATTCTATAACTGCTAAAGGATATTTGCAATGTTTGCTTATCGGTAATCTTTGTTTTTTTTTAGGGGGGGGGGTGTGTCTAATTTTTGTGGTTTTAGAAAAAATTTTCCCACCAAACAGTACAACACACAAGCTTCCACACAACTTCAGTTAGCGTAGGAGAGGTGCCAGAATAAAAACATTCATCTTATTTGACTTAACAAAAGATAAAGCATTACACAGCTAACAGGTTCCTGCTTTGAGTGATCTTGATGACTAATTTTCCTGGTTTCTTCTCTCCATTTTTACCCTTCCCCACAAGTTCTACAGACTGGATGGTGTTGTTAAAATCAGCGGTACTTGTGAACACATGCTTTCCAAGGTACGAGTCTCTGATCACGTTGCTGTTCCAAATCTGTCAAAAGAAAAGAAAACAATACAGAGGGACAAGGAAAACAAGCTTTCTACCTTTTTACAATTCTTCATGTTAACCTGAAGAACTGTATTTGAATTTAATCATAATGCATTCAAAAATTTCTGTTTAATACAGTATAAGTGGAAATTTTTGCGGAATGCAAATTTAGTGATGTGTCCTTAAAAATTGATATTTTATTTTTAGCGAGATGTAATTTTAACAATTTTAAAAAGCTCACTAAAGAAGCTATTACAAATGAAGTGCAATCAATTTTTAGCGATCTTGGCACCCTAGCTAATAATGCCAAAATTAAATCCTCACTAAAAATTCTGATTATATGGTATCTAAAATGTGCATCTTTTAATGTTGATTATTATTTTGTATTCTTCATGCAGTGTAGCCTATTAGCCACAATTCTCACTTCAGACACCCTGGCCTCACTGATCTTCAGAAAAACATTTTTAAAGGTATTCCCTCTCAGTGCTGGTTTCATGTAACAGCTCTAGTCTTTTAGTTTCTGATCACATTATGTCTTGTTTCCGCCATATTTTATTTGAATAAGGGCAAACAATTCTTTTTGTAACATTTTATAGCATATCGAACCCCTAACCAGTATTCACAAAAATATACCACAATACGTATTTTGAAGATCAGAATCATGATACACTGATTAACCAGTGAAATCACACAGCTCTATTCCCTCTTTATTCCAAAAGAAACTGAAATATCCTAGCTTTTTCAAATATGCCACAGGGTTGTCCCTAAGACCCAGGGGCAGGGAATTTCCACGCCTATAATGATGTAATCCCCCAGTTATTTTGGTATTCCTCCTTAACTCCTCATTAGGAGAGGAACCCCAGATCCCCTTCCACTTTTTAAATGTCCCTCTTCTATAACCCTGATACTATAAAAGGTTTATTTGTAGGTTACAGCACCTGAATCTTGATGGGTTTCCTCATATTTCTCCTGTAGAAAACCGCCGACTCATTCCACTCAGGATTTATTGTGTCATCCACAGTCTTTGTCCGTACTTTTTCTCTCTCACATTTTATAATGCAGTATGGATCAGCTCCTTGATGATAAAAATCAAAAATTCCCAAATTATTCATATAACAAACCCATTTCTCTTTCAACAGTACACCTATTAACCCACATGTTTATTTATAACTACCTGTAGCTATGTCCTGTCTTTCCAGTCCCTCTGCTTTTAGTACCTGGATCTGGGTCAACAGCCTCACTCCAGCCCCAAAACAACAACAGCAGCAGTAATTCAGGCAGCCCATTCCAGGCTTATCTCGGGTCAACTCCCTGAAAATTGGATAAAGCATATGCATTATATTTTAAGTATTAAAATTTCATGTTAATAAAATGACTGAATTCCCAACAGATTTAGATAAAATCAAGAATACAAACTATACTTCTCTTGTATCAACAATTATATTTATCAGTAAATTAAACTGTTGACAATAAATTTTTGGGTCTTAGACAAAGATATTTCATAAACTGACCATGTCTGTTTTATCTTTTTGTCTGACACTGAACCTGGGGGAGATTTTCATGAATTTTTATGATAATGCAATGTGAAGTACAGTACAAGAAAATATTTTTACTGTTAGTGTGACCGTCATCAAGACAAAAGTTTAGCAGGAACAAAAATAAATTAATTGTATATTTGGTTATTTTCTCTTCAACATACTATGCTGCTACATAGAATAATAAAAAAAGCTGTTAGATCAAGCTTTTTAGGGAACAACTATGTTTTCTTTGAATACAATTTATACTGCACAAACTAATACCTCGATCTCTGTATATAAAATTAACATACTTACTGGAAGCTATTGGCTGAACTAGAGTACATCCTGAAGAGGAACTCCCCCTCAATATTTGGGTCAAATGTGCAGACAATGGCC